ATAGTTTCTGTTAAGTTTGATTATCTAAATTATTTTAGGCTGTTTCTCTTTTAATTTTATTAGTCCAAATTTAGTTTTTCAATGAAATATTGTAGCCGAGACAACTTCAGCACTGGCATATGTCATTCGATTTCTAAATATGTCTCGGATGAGTATATAACCTATACTGTTACTTACAAAGCTATTAATCCTAAGCGATCAACATAGTAATTTTACGATCCGTGTGCCGATTGCATAATACACGACTCTAACTGAAATAGTATGCACATGTAAATAGAATGACAAACTCATTGCTATTATCTTTTATAATAACTTTTCCTCATGCTTTTTTAGGTGGGTACCGTACACAAAAGGTCCAAATCCTTGTGAGTTAAACTGTATGCCCAGAGGAGAAAGATTTTATTATCGACATGCCGACGCTGTAGTAGATGGTACTACGTGCACTGATGAAGGGTTCGACGTTTGCGTACAGGGAAAATGCCAGGTAAGTTACAGGTACAAGATCAGTTATTTTAGTATTGATTCGTCATATGAAAAATTAATTTCATAATCAATAAAGGGAATCAATCTCTTGAGAAAATCAAAACTGAAGAAATTAAAAAAGCTCTGTGGTAATACAAGCCACACAATCATCAATAGATGGCAAAGCGACAGGTCCTGATGAAATTCCAAGTGAAATATAAAGCTATAACTTCGTTTGTCAATACCATTTATACCAGCGGACCCCTACCTAATGGTTGGTCCAATTCATTGTTCATAGCACAACCTAAAACGACAACAACCCATGCTGATTATAGAATGCTGAAACATTGTTTGGGATGAACGTGCTTACTCAAAAATGTCTATGATATATTTGTTGACATGTTCTGTTGTTTTATTGACTTCCAAAAGGCATTTGATCGTGTTAAGCACTCTATATTGATCGCAATTCCAAGAAACATTGGCTTGGACGGCAGATACGTTCGCGTAATTGCCAATTTGTATTGAAATTATACAACATCAGTTTTAGCAGAAGGTTTGGAATCACAGGCTCTTAATATCAAAAAAAGAGTACGGCAGGGATGCCTATTGTCCCCACTGCTTTTCAACGTTTACTCCGAAAGAATTTTTAAAAATGCACTTTCTGGAAAACAAGAAGGAATAATTGTGAACGGTGACATCATCAATAATTTGCGATATGCGGACGATACAGTACTCCTAGCTTCTATTCAAGACGATCTGTAAACATTACCTGCCAGTGTCGTTGAGAATCCAATATACTCGTAACATGTAAATAACTGGGTTTGTCGGTCTGTTATAAATAAAACACCTAATTATTGCTTAAACGTTTCTGCTATTTGCCATTTTCAATAAGCACTTTAATTATTTAATATTAAGTAATACACAATTATATTTTTGATGTCTATACTATTTGGTGGTTCTACATAGAATGGAATGGTATCTGGCCCTCAAATAGATGTGGCAGATACTTTAAAATACGAGTGATTCAGGGTTGTATTCTAAACATTTGTCATGGTGCGTTTAAAAAGCAACTCAATTTATTAAATTGTGATCCATGTTGGAAATATCTTTGATGTCAGTCTTAATATTAATGGAACTTGGATTTTTTTATGAGAATCATCTCCAATATGTATTTTTTGTTGAAGTTTTCTTCACTTCCTACAATCTGTACTTTTTCAAAATCAAAAGATTGGTTACTTTCCAGACAATGCTTGGCTACGGCTGTTGTGTTTGATTTGTGCTGGTTTGTACACTATGTTTGTGTGCAACGACCTTTCTCTGCAGATCTTGGTGTGTTTGCCCAATATATGTTAAATAGCAGTCTTTACAATTTATTTTTTAAATAACATCTGACTGATGATCTTTATTAACATTGGGTTTAAATTTATGTTTTAAGCAAGAATACTGATATTATAAAAAGCGTCAAGAAGAGAAAGCTGGAGTAGGTACTTCGGACATGTAATGGTAGGTCCCAAATATAGATTGCTACAAAATATTATGCAAGAGAAAATAGCAGGGAAACGCAGTCCAGACCGAAGAAAGACTCCATGGTTGAAGAACTTGCAAAATTGGTATGGTACTAATACTATTTAGGGTGGCAGTGAATAAAATTAAGATATCTATGACGGTAACCAACGTTCCAAAAGAACATGGCACATAAAGAAGAAGAAAGAACCCTTAGAATCATGTGATATATCAAAATAAGTAAAAATAAGGGAACCATTATATGACATAAAGGAATATTGGCATTGACTAAAACCTAATTTGTTTGTGAATAAATACAAAGACATACTTACGATAACACCTTGTATTTTCATAGGGACAGAAATAAAACCGAGGCTGTAGATAAAGTAACTGACATTTTATTTAGTGTATTAATGATAAAATTAATTATTTTAGCCTGTTGGATGTGACCGAATGTTAGGATCGAGTGCCCGAGAAGATACGTGCCGAGTATGTGGAGGAGATGGCAGCACTTGCAGAACCTTCACCAATACCATTCAAATGAAAGACATGCAAGTGGGTAAGTAATTTTCACTTGTACTATTGACTATACATGATCATCGCTCATCCTCTTCGTTTCTTACAGCTCTTTCTAGACCTCTGGCATTAAAGGGTATTACTATTTCTTTAATTCTTTGTGTGTTTCTAACTTATAAAACCTTTAATACGAAAATAATAACGCTTTGCATGAAAATTTTACACCATGTGTAACTAAAAGTATATCTAATCAACCATAAATATATAAAGATACATGCAAATATACATATGTTTTTTATTTCTTTCTATTCTGCAAAATTTAGAATCATCTTAACCAATTAGACACTCATCAAACGTACATTAGGCATCGTACACACTATCTCGCTCTCGCTGTCGCTACCGGTATAGGGCAAAATGCGGTTCAAATTTACATCACCTTTTGTTCAATTTTTCACATGCAAAAAACAGTACTATTTTTTTCGGTGTATCACTTCCTATTATCGATATCAATTCCATAACCATCACTTAATCTAACCATGAGTAATCATTCCTATCCTGATTCCAACCCCACTCCTTTAGATATACAGATATTGTGAGCTAGCAAACAAAACACACACACATACACACACACGCGCGAGGCGTTCAACCATCGAGCAAAAAGATACAAGAGGGAATCTAATCCTTATGCAAAGGAGACCAAAAAAGTGGCCTCTGATGGCGGACATATCCGGAAATGCGAATGCGCCAAATTTAAATTTTCCGACACTTATTAACAGTAGCTATACAATATTTTTCAGAATGTGTCTTAGACGAGAAAGTTTTAATTAATTATTAACGGTAATAGTCTAAAATGCTACACAATTGTTAAAAAACTTCAATATAAATAAGATTTCATGTGACATTTGGGACAAACAATAACATAACCCAACTAAATTTGATGTCAAACAAGGAGAGAGACTCTCTTTCCTTGTTTAATGTGGCCTCTTAAAGATCGCACTTCCTGTCTAACAATATTTTTGCCCCACTACCTTTACATTCCCTCTTTCGTCTTTTTGCTCCATGCGTTCAACCCAACCCCTAGTGACATGTGTATACCACTGCTATAGTGTATTTTTATGTATGAGAGAGTAATAAAACAATAAATTATGTATGCAAATCCCTAAACTCTTGACACGGGAAACTCAATGAAAAACAGATATTTGTCAACAAGTTTACAGAAGTATATAGGAAAACAATTTTAAATTGAGTATGACCACCAGGTATAAAGGTTGGAGCAGAATAGAATACAATAGTTGTGAGGGTTACTAATCCCTAAATAGGGTTGCCAGTGTCGGAGTGATGGAGGTTAACAGGTACTAATGAATTTGCAAGAAATGTAAGATGTTTATTTTATTGGTTATATATAACCAATAAAGTGTAATAAGTACCTACCTATTTGCAAAATAAAGTTTAATTCTTTAGATAAAATAAAACGTTTTATTTTATCTGAAATGAGTGCATTCCACGAAGTAAGGGTTTCAACAATAAAACATTTAATTCTTTAATTCCAGGAATCTACGACAGTAATTGACTAGATAATTACCTTCTAAACTTATTCCACAGAAAATGTGATAGTGGGTTTTTCCATTTTGTAGGAAGGTCCAAGTGGCGTATTCAAAATTCTTAACAGTTCACTAAAAGTAGGTACTTCAGTTGCAAGGTGCAGTTTATTGTGTATACTAGTGTTATGGAAAATTTGGAAGTGCCGTGTAAACGCCGAAAAATTGGTCCTTTAACAGTTAATGAAAAAACATTAATATTTAATTGTTTTAAATCATTTACAGACAAACGTTTATGTGAAAGTATTGATGAGACCGTTGAGTCAGTTAGCAGTACACTTGGTGTTAGGAAATCTACGATTTACAGAGTTATTAAAGAAGAGAAATGTGGTAGTTTTCAAATGCCACGTAATGCTCCAGGGAAACCAAAATTTCAAATAGAATATCATTTTAAAGAAGGACTTCGACGGAAAGTGCATGAATTCTTCTTTAGACAAGAATTTCCAACATTGGATAAAGTTCTTGTCTCAGTTCGAGATGATAAGGATTACCCAGAAATGAGTCGAAGTACGTTATGGAAACTTTTAAAAGAAATAGGCTTCCGCTGGAAAAAGAATCCCAGAAAGTCTATTTTATTAGAAAGAAGCGATATTGTCATATGGAGAAGACATTTTCTAAGAACCATAAAGGAAATGAGAAACCAAAAAAGAAAAATATTTTATCTTGATGAAACATGGATCAACGAGGGTCATACACCAAATAAATTTTGGCAGGATGAAACTTTTACAAGTCAAAGGCACGCTTTTGTAAATAACTTATCTACTGGTTTAAACCCACCATCAGGAAAGGGACGCAGGCTGATAATAGTACACATTGGCAGTTCAGACGGTTTTGTTGAAGGTGGTTTATTAACTTTTGAATCAACTCGTACCGGTGACTACCATGAAGACATGAACGCTGATGTCTTTCAAGAATGGTTCGAACAAATGATAGATCTTCTTCCTAAGAACTGTGTAATAGTAATGGATAATGCAAGTTATCACTCCAGACTTATAGAAGGACTGCCCACAACCAAGTGGTTAAAAAAAGACTTGCAGAATTGGCTGAGTTCAAAAAATATTACGTACCATCCCGGATCTATAAGAAAGGAACTTCATTCGTTGTGTGCCCTTCATAAAGAAAAATTTAAAAAATACGAAATTGATGAAATTGCCAAAAATCGTGGAATGACAGTACTTAGATCCCCACCATATCATTGTGAATTAAACCCGATTGAACTGGTATGGACACAGATAAAGAGTGAAGTTTCAAGAAAAAATACCACTTGTAAAATTCATGATGTTAAACAGTTGTTTTTGGAGGCCGTAAATAATGTAAAACCTGAAAACTGGAAAAAGGCAGTAAATCACACTATTAAAGAAGAGAAAAAATGTGGAAGCTGGACAATATTACTGCTAAAATGATCGAGCCAGTTATTATAATTCTTGGTTCTGAAAGTTCATCTTCTGAATCTGATTTGGATTTGTAACAAGTAGCTGTAAGTTTTATATTAATATTTTTATTCATCTATTTAACATACATTAGACGGTTTTAAAAACTCTTTTTCTCTTTTGTAATTTTTAAAAATTAAAAAAAATGTGAATTTTTAAAAACCCTTTTTAATGTAGGCCAGTCAGTTCTAATATAGTGTGTGATAAAAGAGGTCACTTTTGTTTACATACACATAACACTTTATAACACAAATAATTCATTTATTTTTTACAATTATTCAAAGTAATTTTTCAATTAATCTTGAGCACGCCCATGGAGTGGTCGGAGGTACCAGTTAAAATTATGCTAATTACTCTCTTGTTCATAAAAATAAACTATAGTCAGTGGGATCCACATGTCCGAAGGTCAAACCGGTCTCGCCCCAGAAGAATTATCAATCTGGATCGGTACCTATCTGACCCCCAGGTTTTTCCTCCAGCCCTTCAATACGTCTGAGATACGCATCGAAGGCTTATGAACTTTACGTCGGGCGATTTGGGTAATAAATAACACCCTCCGTATCTACATGGTTGTGGTTAGGCCACCTAAAATCAATGGGTAGCTATAAGCTTTTCTCCCTAGTTAGGTACTTTACTGAATTTACTTTAGCGTTAGCATTTTTTTCCTTTCCTTCAAACAGCAAACAGGTTAGCAAACAAAATTCGCGCTCTTACGTATTTATACCCGTACAGAACGGACGTGTTTTCACCCCTTTTTCTTATTTTGGTGTTCGTACAGAAGAAACGCTCTTTTTGCATGCCTCTGATTTTTGTTCCGGCAGCGAACGGACGTATTTTCACTCCCTGTCTCTCCTTTTCTTTCTCTCTCGACTATTGGATATTTAGAACATTATAGGGAAAAAAATAGACACAAAAAGGTTTTTATACTCTATTTTTACAATTATTAGAAAAAAAGGTGGTACCATATGCAACCGCTTGGTTACAACGAAAACATTATTTTGTGGAAATGGAATAAAACGATTTTTGTTTTCGAAATTTGTTTTGAAAACAAGTGTATTCAACAAGTTCTCACTAAAACAAATGTAATGTTTTTTATGTAATGTAATTTTTATTAATGCTAATTTATTTACTTTATTTCCCTTATTCTTATTCACTTAAACACAATAATTTATATCAATTTATTAAACCACTTATTCGATACAACAATTTATTTTCGACTAACTAACTGTTTACATAAAATGTCCCATATATACCCAATACCGTTAGACTAGAACCCCAGCGAAGAATCGATGACCTTCTCGACTAGTATGGAAGGTAAACATGTTCTTATCGAATGGTCGGGCCCGTGGATGTTTCCTGAAGTTTCCGCCGGCTGGTTGTTGTTTTTATTCGATCCTCTTCTGGAGAGTTCGAATCGGTGGTATATGACCTAGAAAATACTTGAATGAATAAGAATATTACCTCTCTCCCAACTATTTTAAATCAGTCTATTGATACAGTCTTAAAACTCAGAAATTATAATAATAATTTCACATATGTACATGACTTACTGTACACGTTTAATATTTTAATCTTCTTTATAGATCGATTGCTATAGGTTTTAAAATTACTTACAAACTCACCTAAATACTTGATGTTCAATATTGGTTTATTAAAACATATTTAGTTCAGATTATTGTATGGAGTCAAAACATGGACTCTATGTGTAATTAGCAGAGATTGTTAAAATCCTTCGAGATAAGGATTTTTGTCCCATTCGTACCGATATCCATAACGAACGTATTCTCGAGCCTTAACAAAATAAAGAGAGTATTTACATTCTCCTCCCACCGTAAGCTATTTCGGAAAAATTGCTGCTGTAATTATATTATTTTTAAAACTAAAACTGCACTAACTATGCTCTTTAGATACAAAAATACTTATTCTAGAATCATCTCAAGTAGTCGATCTCTATTCGTTACTAACGCCGTGTGTTCTGGAATACCAAGGTCACTATTGCTAACGCTGACCACCGTATATTCTAAAGTTCCATGGTCACGATTTAGAACAATGCGAAGATTCTTGTATCATTGTAGTCATCTGTCTAAAAATTGTGACATATCATACGGGATACGTCGAAGATATGCTATGTCGTTACAATATCATTTGTGTTCAACAAGAGCTTGGATGTAAATTTAACTAAAAATTTTCGATACGCAAAACTGTGTCGCATAAAAAATAGAAAAATGTTTAGATGTCCTTAATAATTATTTTTAATTTTTTAGGCTACAATGATATACTACTAATACCCGCAGGAGCTACAAACATAAGAGTCGAAGAACTTGCTCCTTCAAACAATTACCTTGGTAAGTTTACAAGATCAGATTTTATATTAGGTATATTGATTGCCATTTAGATTCCACGAATTATATTCTCTCTATCAGCAGTCGTGTACCCAAAACTGGAGATGGGGTTCAGTTATGAATCTCTCATCTTGTTTCTATAGTATATTCCACTATATTTAAACAGTCTTTATTCGGCAAGAGAGGATAAATACAAGTCACTTAGGCTATCGGCATGCAAAAGCTTGTAAAAAAAACCATCAGAAACTAATTTAAGCCTCTGCATTTGCAGTGTCAGAACCTGTTCGCAGCTGGACGTAAACGTGCAAATATAAGCCTGTTTCATAGATCATAGCAAAGGTTCTGACTGCGTCCAACACCAGATATTAGAAGAAATACTCAGAAACTATTATCTTTATCCAATGGTACTATAGTCGAAATCGAGGACAGGCCTCTTTCAGCATTCGTCTATAAGCATTATTTCTTCAGCTGCTCTCCAGTTATCTACTCTTAACATCTCTCTAGCATCGAAGGAAGAATTTAGAAGAATAAGTCAATCGGAAGGTGAGAAAAATCCTGACTCAAGGATTTTCGCCAATTGCTTGGCCAAACATCATATGAAATGTTCAGAGCCTCTATTTAACGTGTAATTATAGCCAATATAAACCAATCTTACAAGAAAGAAGAATATACTCTAAAAATCCATTTTAAATAAACTTTCTCTCTTTCTCTATTAGGAAATATATGACAATTCTTTCCATTGTACATTTTCATTCTAATATCCTGCTTTGCTATGTTTTGATATAGGCTAACATGCTTTAATAAAGTTCATGAATTATAAACTGTTCACATCTGAGATTTGCAACCATATCTTATAGTTTAGTTTAACACAAGACCTTCTGTAATATCCAATAATTCAACATTTAAAAAATATATAACGAAGGTAGATTGTATAGTGAACGCTACTAATATATATTGTATTTTCCATAGCTATACGAAACACATCAGCACATTTCTATTTAAACGGAAACTGGCGCATTGATTTCCCGAGAGCCACCGATTTCGCAGGAACCAGATTCAAATATGAAAGAACCCCTCAAGAATTCGATGCTCCAGATATTATCACAGCTCTGGGTCCGACTGATGAATCGCTATTTATTGTTGTAAGTATGTTTTTTTTTTATTCGTGAGGACGAAAGTCCTTAACCATCAACTCATGATGGATGGTATTGTAAGATTTTTTCCCATTAAAAAAACCAAGTTGGATGGTGTCTTCCGCAGGCCCTTTACGCCTTTGTTTCGAGTAGGAATCAGTATGATCCCTTAAAGTGAAATGTTCTAACATCGACCTCTGTCATATAAATTATAAAATTTAAGAATTTCAATATGTAATTTAAGTGTTATTAGACCTTTCGATGTGATACTTAGATACAGTGTGCTAATATTTTTATTTATTGCAGTTACTTTACGAAGGTGCAGACGTACCAGTCAGTTTTTCTTATAGTTTACCAACCTCGGTACCACCTCCACCAAACGAAACGTACTCATGGATATACGACGAGTTTTTGCCATGTACGGTTACATGTGGAAAAGGTAAAAAACTGATATTTTTACGTAGATTATTTTAAAACGTCTTTATTTTAAAAGTCTTTGTGCAGTAATTCTTCAAAAAATATTGTCGATCAGTCTGTGGTCTATACATGCTCTTTTGAAGAAACAATACAAGACATACCAAAATTAATTACTTTAATAATGTAATGTAATTCATTATACATTACAGACATTTTTAATGTAACAATGTATTTTTCAAGTCCTCTCCTAGATAACTACTGTAATGCTTTATAGAAACAACTATTCTTAGTTAAATATTTATTATTTTGTGCTTCTACATTACTTGCTCAAATGTATCTGTTCAAGTGACAAGTGACAGACGTAACCTTACAGGTGAACCAGCGAATGTTAAGGTTGGTTCACACTAAGCTGTTTATGTTACATCTCCCTCTTTTACAAAACTTAAACAACTGAAAACACTAACCTATTATCCGTTCACAAATTGTTGATGGCACGAAATGTGCCTCAAAGTCATCAAACGGTCGTAAAATTTGTATCATCATAGGCGTTCCTGAGGTGTTTATTCATTAAAATTAATATTAATATTAATCTGTTAATACTAATATATTTAGCAAAAAACAATTAAAACTTTCACGGCTAATGTTGGTTATTATATTATATTAATAAAAATAAGAATTTAATCATTAACAATTATATAAATAAGAATACCTTATCTCTTTGGATATTTCAATACTAAAGCGTTTAATCACTTTACTAGAAAACCTGGAATTCATATCCGAAGGTACTATTCGTTGCAAGATAATTAGGATGGAATTCCCCAGATCTTTAATAATATAATGTGAATAAAGATGTCGACTTTGGCCACGTGCCTCGTCTGTTCAGTTTTTATTCGAAACTTAACTCGAAAGGGTGAAGTTATTACGAACGAAAAAATTTTTTTTGTTTAGTACGTTTTTGATCGCATGTCATTTACGGCTCGTCGGTGTTTCCGCGTCTACGGCAGTAATTAGCATCTAGAATATTTCTTTTGCGAACTATATGCAATGCGTGAGTGATTTTTTATTCCATATACGTACGAACATATACGTACCTTTCGCTGGTTCTCGTTTTGTTGGATTGTTTGTGATGGCTTCATCATCAACATCATCAAGTTTTACACCGGTACTGTTGCGTACAGTCAGTAAGTCTGTCTATTCACCAAGAGAGAAGACTGTTGTCCTGAATGTTCACGATGCTCTGATTTCTCAGAATCCCACAAACACTGTTCGCAACATAGTCGAAAGTTGTGCCAACATGACTGGCGTAGGGTGTCAACTATATATAGGTTCCTATCAGAAAGAAAAAACTCAGTATAGCTAACCCAAACACAAACGAACACTTAAAGAGAGGGAAAAAGCCTATTGAAATTGATGAATTTGACAAAAATGGTATTCGAAGGAAAATTCATGGATTTTTTTTCAAAAAGAAATAACAAACCTAAACAAAAATTTACAAGAAGTTAGAGACGACCCGGATTTGCCTCATATCGGACGAACTAAATTGTGGCAAGTTTTAAAAGAATTAAATTTACGGTGGGAGAAATCACTGAAATGAAATCACAGACCGAAAATCACTTTTAATTGACCGGGAGGAGATAATATGTTGGAGAAGAAATGATCTAAGATCCATACGAAATTCCGGACTGAAGGAAGGCCAATCTTCTACTAGGATGAAACGTGGGTAAACTCAGGTTATACTTTAAAAAAAGTTTGGTCAGATAAAAATATATTAAGCTCTAGGCAGCTCCAGGCAAGCCTTTATGGAAGGTTGGTCTACTGGTATCTCCCCACCTTCTGGTAAAGGCAGTAGATTAATTATTTCTCACATTGGTAGTGAAAAAGGATTTGTTAAGCATGGTTTGTTGGAATTTCAGTCCAAAAGCACAAAAGACTAACACGAGGAGATGACAGCTGATGTTTTCGAAGCGTATTTTGAGCAGATGATTGAACACATACCACCAAATTCAATTATAGTATTAGATAATTCACCTTATCATTCACGACTAGTAGAAAGACTTCCAACGACTGTGTGGAAGAAACAGAATATTCTTGACTGTCTGTGGAATAAGTATCTACCTTACGAAGATGGAATGGCAAAAGCAGAACTTTTAAAAATTGCCCGGTAACACAAATCTAAGTTCAAGTAATACGTTGTTGACAAAATGGCGGAAAGGCGAAACATCACAGTCCTTAGACTTTCGCCCTACCACTGCGAAATAAATCCAATTGAACTAATTTGGGCACAAATAAAAAGTTATGTGGCTAGAAAAAATACGTCATATAAAATACAAGCTGTACCTGAATTGTTATACGAGTCTTTACAACATATTACAGAACAAAACTGGAAAGATGCAGTAAGGCATGTAATAGAAGAAGAACAAACAATGTGGGATCTTGATAACATAATTGATGCGACCGTAGAGACACAACCGCTAATTATTAACCCTCAGGACGACTAGGATTCCGAAGTTGATGAAGTTGATCCTATTTATTTTGAATTTGAATAGTTTTCTAATCGTAATTATATAAGGTAAGTAATAGTAGTTGTAATCGTAAGGTATTAAAGGGGAAAGGCGCAAAATGTCGCTTGTCAAAATGTTTAATGTGTTTTAAATGTATCCATTTTTTTCAAATCCTGAGAAAACTAAAAAGCATTTAAAAAAAATTTAAAGGCAGAATGAAATATTTATTAGAATAAATAAAAAGTTTCTTTTGCATGCAATATTTTCAATTAAAAATTATACTGTATTTTCTCTTTTATTTTCACCTCTGTTTAACATACTCTTTTTATTTTAATATGTTTCACCACATATTAAAATAAACATTGTAGAAGTTTTCAGGAACTTCCTGCCGTCAGTAATAATGCAAGCTTTCATTCTGCGTTTAAATTTTTCAAAAATATTTATTAGTTTTCTCCGGATTCGAAAATAATGGATACATTTAAAACACATTGAAAATTTTGCCAGGCGACATTTGGCGCCTTTCCCCTTAATTAAATAAATGTATCTTTTACAAATGGCAAGAAACTTTTTATTTTTAAGTAAAATAAAGGAGTTTTATTAAAACAAAAATACAATTTAAAAAATATATTTATTTAGTTCAAATAAATGTTTCAGTCATATACTCTACGACACTGGTCCGTCATCTGTAAGCAAAATACCTTCGTAATCGGATTATAAGGTTGATTGCTGTATTGTATTACTTCAGATACAAGGTGGGTTAGTCGAAAACATCTTAAACCGTCAGTTTCAGGTTGGTTTTTACAATTATATCGAATTACCTATCCTCTCTGTATTTCAGTTCTCTAATTAGGATTAAACTTGTAGTGAGCTATCGACAAATTGTGAACCGACTATAAAAAATACAATAATTAAAATATGATTAATCTCTATATTTAGCTGGTTTTCTACCGACCAGAGCAGGTTTTGTTAGGGCCTGTTACTGGTATAATTGATTTACTTTGAGTTTTATCTGATTTTTCATCACTAATAGATGTTTCTGTTTGATCCTAACATTTTTATTTCCTCATGATTTCAACATTTGAAATCCTCATTATTGGACTCCAGATACACAGATTTGGATTTGGTCTCAAGAACGATGAATTCCGTCTTAGAACCTTATCCCAATTCTCCCTCACCAAATATGATCTAGGAGTACTATTGTCTTCAACCTTAGAAATTATTCCTCTTTTCTCAAGATCTTTTAAAGCCCCCTTAAGGCATGGTTTTAAAGCATCAGGCACCTTTTGGCAACTACTAGGTACAGTTTCTGCTTTTTTATGTATACACAATCTTATACTGATAGGTATATATATATACTGCCAGTGCCTTGAAAAACATTTGAATATTTTGTTAACAGTTCACTTTTTTCTTTAGAGTAAGTACTTCCTGTATCTACTTTTTTATTATTTTGTACAAGCGTTTAAAACTAAGATGGACGGACTGTTGTTACAACCTATTACTACAAATGTATGGCTATCACTCTATTGTTTCCATAAGTGCTAAGTTTAAGATTATTTTCCACAATTTTATCTACAACTTCTAAGCTTTTTACAAACTTTAACGGTAAGCAGTTACAATTAGCCCTTGAATCCAGCTTAAAATTTACAAACTTGTAATTAATTAATATGTGAATAGTCCAAATATTACTTTTATTATTTTTTTTCCATTATCCAATGATAATTCATCTATGTAGGGTTCACCATCATTCTCTGAAGTTGAGGTTTCTGCGTCAATGTTATAAAATGTTCTTGACTTCTTTTCCGAATTGTCATACTTCCTCTTATGTACAACTGGAAGAAAAATGATTTGATTTTCTACAATTTTTACAAATTCTTCTGCATTTTTTCTAAGGCCTTTGACTTGGAAGGTACTCACTTCTCCTATTCTGCATTGATTTTCGGCTTCTGCAGCAGTAAGATTTGGAATTCTTAAGAGCATTTTTTGCAAGGATTGGTCTTCAACTACCCACTAACTAGTCTATCTCTTATTAGAGAGTCTTCAAAAGGATCAAAATTGCAATTTTTTGCCAGCAATTTTACATCTTTCATAAAGTTATCAAACTCTTCGTTTTCTTCTAATACTCTAGTAAAGAAAAGGTACCTATCATAAGTTTAATTTTTCAATGGTGAGTAGTATGTTTTAATAAATCTATCTAGAAAATTCTCCAAGTTTTGACCTGAATTTTGACTCCCATTAAGCGGTTTAAAATTAGAATCCATTGTACATATTTAAATACGGCGTCAGACACCTGACACCATGTAATGTTTTATAGAAACAACTATTCTTAGTTTCTTAGTTTAATATTTATTATTTTGAACTTCTACATGACTTGCTCAAATGTATCTGTTCAAATGACAAGTGACAGACGTAACCTCACAGGTGAACCAACTCATGTTAAGGTTGGTTCACACTAAGCTGTTTATGTTACAACTACTAGGGATATTCAAATCCTCAGTATTGCATCTATTTTTGTATATTTATCAGGTCTTGATGATAAAAAAATAGCCATATAATTACATATAATATTCCTTCAATAATGTGTTCACAAGATAATAATAAAATTAATATGTTAAAAGGTATTCAATACAGAAATGTCAGCTGCGCCGGTAGGAATTCCTTAGAACCAGTACCGGAATCCCTATGCGACTCGCACAGTAAACCTGAAGATGTTAAGACTTGTAGCGAAATAGACTGCCTGCCAGAATGGTATCCTTCAGATTGGAGTGACTGTACAGTACCGTGCGGTGAAGAAGGTGGCGTTCAAACCAGAAAACTTGTTTGCCAAAAAGTAAACGCGAGCGGAATTCAAGAGGTTGTGAGTAGTAATGAGTGTTTTGGACAATCCAAACCCCCAACAGAAATGAAGTGTAACGTTCAAAAGCAGTGTCCAAAGTGGTATATTGAACCATGGAAGCCGGTAAGTACTTTTTTCTTATTTACTTAATGTTAAGTTTTTGTATTGAATGTCATAATTTAGTTTCTGTGCATTCTCTAAAGATGCATATGGCATCTTTTCTGATAAACTGATTTGTCTTCTAGGTACAAGGGGATTTGTACTCGATCTAAGCTACATCATATAACTGTACCTTTAACATTGATGTACCCTTTTGCATCGTGAAACAATTTAATGCTTTCTTAAAATTTTATCGATCGTAGAAGACATTATATTGTTTTTTATTTTAATTATTTTTGTCTTCAACAAGTACAGTGGAACTTGGTTATAGTGTCACTAAAACGTCCAGTAAAAAAAATAACGCTATATCAGAGTGAACCAAAAGCTTTCTTTTCTCTGTATCTGTCATATTTGCACAAACAAAAGCCGAGACTCTTTGTTTTGAAAACTTTCCACTGAAATATTTTAGATTTTTGAAATTTAAAGTTTTCTGGCGTTATAATGTAAAAGACACCAGTTTTATCGCCATTGAAGATATCTTCATACTTGTATGGTTGCCTTAGTTGTGGCCATGTGTTTTGTAACCAATCACCTGTCACGATCTCGTCCACACATTTTGCCTCTCCAACAATTTTCGCGAAGGAAATTAAATGCCAGACTTTAAACCGATCCAGCCAGTCGTAAGAGCATGTCAAATCTTCGCCAAACAGTTTTCCGAATTATGTAGCTTTCTCCTTTAAAAGTGGCTCTGACACAGGAATATCAGAACTGCGAAACTGCTTGAACCATTTCAGTAGAGCTGAATCTACATCACCAGGAATACACTTACTAATCTTTTTAACATTTTCTCCCTCCTCATTAAAGGCTGTTAAAATTTTAACCTTGTTTTTCATGATTGAGCCGACAGTCCAGTTAACAAGTCCAAATTGCCTACACCAGCAATTTTTAGACCACTTTCAAATGATCTTATAACTCATGCATTCTTATGTGTTACTAAATGGTTTTCTCGTTTTCTGTCTAGTTGTCGGACGGGATCAGAGAACTATAATAAAGTAGATTGGAGAGACAATGTTGCCGATTTTAGCGCTGTATGTAGTGTGCATTATCTAATCCAGAACTTAAACTGTATACAAATTTCGGTAACATTGCGCTGATGAAACTAAATTATGTCTCATGTTTATTCCAAATATCAAGCTTTTCCAAACCTCAATATTTGTATATTATAATATCTGATTTCTTTGTTTCAGTGCGATCATCTTTGCGGCGCAGGAAAACAGACGAGAAAAATAACATGTTACAAAGAAGAGAACAATAGAAAAACGATCTTGCCAGACGCTGAGTGTGATGCAGTAGAAAAGAAGCCTCCTACAGAACAACCCTGCAATTTGAGACCATGTGAAGGTGTCGACTGGGTCACATCAGAGTGGTCAGGGGTAAATCAGTCTTGTATTTTGTAGTAATTAACAATTTCTTAGACACATTGCGTAAATTTCAAATTTATTAAGGTATCTAAGAGACTTGTTAACAATGCCACAATGCATAGTAAAAAATAGGGCCAAAATATTAAATGCATTTACAGTATCAGTTTATATATTTTAAATAGGTATATTTCAGTTCGAATAGAAAATTCTACACTATTGAATTGTCGAATTATTTAAATTGAGAAGCACATTTGCATCTCGTGGCCACAAATAACGTTTAGATTCAGAGATCCATGTCGTCGATCCACAAATCCTATTGATTTGGGTTTTGTGGTAGCTGTTTTGTACGAGTGCTTGCCTTATTGAATTGATTTCGGATGATCTGTGATTGTCGTCGCTAAGTCGTATGGAACAGGAAACAAGAGTGTTGATAACTGAATTTAGTAAAACGGGGTGATGATGTCACTGGGCAATGAGATAACAGTTTGTATGGGTGGGTTTCTGGTACACGGAATAAGAAAAACTGTGAGATGGGTGTTTCTGAATAAGAACAATAAAGAATGGCAAAGATGCTTCAGACTCAACTTCCATCGTGAATTGAATACTGGATGTATTCCATTTAGGTGGGAGAGAAAGAGATCTAATGTGTCTTTATCATGGTGCCAAATGATAAAGGTGTCATCAAAGTACCGTAACCAGCAGGTGGGTTTGAGATTTGATGAGGACGGGATGTTGTTTTGAAGTGTTCCATGTAGATATCAGCTATTACGGGAGAGGGGGGAGATCCCATTAGGGCACCTTTGATTTGACGATAGAAACGATTTTGAAATGAAAAGCATGTATTAGACATGCAGTGAGATAAGTGATGAGTAAGAGATAATGTGTCTTGTGAGATTTGATGTTTAGAAACTCAAGATGGAAATGGTTTCATTTATAGGAATGTTGGCGAATAAACAAATAATCTCAAAACTAACTAGTATGTCTGAGGCTGAAATAGAAATGTTTTTCAGAAGATCGATAAAATGGAAAGAATTTTTAACAAAGGACGAGGCGTTTTCGGCTAATGGTTGTAACGATAAGGCGATACGTTTTGCCAATTTCTAAATAAGGCAGTTTTATACACTGACGATAGGTCTTATGATTGGATTTTTTAATGTCAGGAGGTAGAGTGAACTTATTTATGATGTATTTGGTCGTTTTTTCTAGATAGGTGATGGGATCATTTGAGATGCGTTTGTATTCTGTAGAATTGAGAAGTTCGAACATTTTGTCAAAATAATTAGAAGAGTTGAGAATGACGGTCCCATTATAATTGATGGATATTGTGAGAATGGATGTCGTCAGGAGGTATCCAAGAGTTTCACTAACAGCAAAGGACTCAAACAAGGATGCTGTGTGTCTTTTACTTTGTTTAAGATCTACTCGGCGCAAGCGATGGAGACGTGAAAAAGAAAATGCAGAAACATGGGAATTCCTCTAAACGACACAATATTGTACACATTGAGTTTTGTAGACGACCAGATAGTGATGGCCCAAGACTATAAAGAACTCGAATATATGACCCCTAAACTTATATGTTATAATAATACGAACTATGGAGGCTAGAAGTAAATATCAAGAAAACTGAATACATGTGTATTGGGGAAATTGGGGAAACAAAATCTAATCTTGCAAGAAATACAGCGAGACATAAATCACTGTCAAAAATACAAATATTTAGGCATGCAAATAACCAACGATGGCAAATTAGACGAAGATATTAAACATAGAAATAACCACGGACGACCAGCCATTAGCTAATTAAACAGTGTACTGTGGGACAAAACAATCTCCAAACAAAACAAACACACAATATATAACATCATTATAAAAAGCGTTGTTACGTATGGAATTGAGGTATGGCCACTGAAAGGAAAAAACTTAAAAGCATTAAGAGCAACAGAAATGGACTTCTGGAGAAGGGAGGCTGTAAAATAAAGGGTAGATAGAGTAGATAGATAGAGCAGCTGGAAAATCAAGAGAAACGAAAGAATACGAGAACTTATGTGTGTTAAGCACAATATAACAGAGGATATCAGAATAAATCAACTAAGATGATGTGGACACGTCCAAAGAATGGATGAACACAGAATACCAAAGAAAGTATTGAACTGGACACCGCATGGAAGAAGAAAATAAGGTAGACCGAGTGTTTTTTTTTTTCGTCCTGTATAAATGGTTCCTATTGTCGGATATTTGTATATCAGGTTCTTTGTCTCGTATTTTTGCAAAATTAATATGTAAATTTCATATTTTACAAGATAATGCTTTGGGCCAAAAGAAAAGATAATGCTAAATGCGGTCCTGTTAGAGGCCAAAAACTGCTAATGTTTACGTTCCCTGCATAGCTTATTAAATTTTAATATAGAAGTGACGATTCAGCCCAGGACAGTTACGAAAATTTCGTTTCACGTATGCCACACTATTCTTCTTCTTCTAGTTCCTATCCGTTTCGGATGTTGGAAATCATATTGGCAATCATAACCTTGCTCGCTGCGGCTCGAAACAGCTCCGTTGAGGTTTTCTTAAACTATGTTCTTAAATTCCGCAGCCATATTATTCTCCTTCTACCGGGTCCTCGCTTACCTTTGACTTTACCTTGCAATATAGACTGTAGCAGGGAGTAACGGTGCTGATTTCTCATAACGTGTCCCAGATATTGCAATTTTATGCGTTTGATCGTAAACACAATCTCTGGTTCCTTCTTCATTTTTCCTAGAACTTCCTTGTTCGTGATCCTTGCTGTCCATGATATTCTCAGCATTCTTCTATAAAGCCACATCTCAAATGCTTCAAGTTTTTTAATAGTGGTGTCTGTAAGCGTCCATGCCTCCGCCCCGTACAACAACACAGAGAAAACATAGCATCTCAAATGTCTCATTTTTGTATCAAGGGATATGTTGTGACTTTTGAAGATGGCGCTCATTTTGTTAAAGACCGTTCTTGCCTTTCCTATGCGGCACTTTATTTCCTGTAAATTGCTCCACTGTTCGTTAATAATAGTTCCCAGGTAACAATACTGTTTTACTCGCTCTATCTGCGTCCCATTAATGTATATATGAGCCCCATTTATATTCTCCTTGCTGATAATCATTTGTTTCGTTTTGTGGGTATTAATGTTTAGTCCGTACTGTTGACTGTACTCCATTAGCCTCTGAAGTCCCTCTAAACTATCTGATATCACCATGGTGTCGTCGGCATATCTAACATTGTTTACTCTTTCACCATTTAGAAGGATGCTTTCGTCTATTCCGTAAAGAGCCTCGTTAAAAATTTTCTCTGAGTACATATTAAATATCAACGGCGATAGGATACATCCCTGTCTAACTCCACGTAGTATTTTTATGTGATCTGTTTCTTCTCCGTTAATTTTCATGTATGCGGTCTGATTCCAGTAGAGTTCTGAAATTATTCTGAGGTCTTTGTCATCCAGGTCTGCCTCTTTTAAAATGTTTATCATCTTTTGATGTTGAACTCTGTCAAATGCCTTTTCGTAGTCGATCAAGCACGCGTATACGTCGCAGTTAACGTCCCTGCATCTTTGAATCAGTACCTGTACTCCAAAAAGTGCCTCTCTGGTACCCACTGCGTTAATGAAGCCACACTATACCAACCGTAAAAAACTGGAGTTACCTACCTACTCGGTAGGTAACAGGAATTGCATATCTATTAGTAATTATAAATTACTATTTATGTATTTAGATCATTATTAAAAATGTATACGGATTAATTAAATGACGGAACGTTACAATCTTTTTTCAGTTAAAAATTGTTACTTGCTATAAAATATTATTTAAAAAAATCTTTCAGTGTGGAGCATGTGGGTTGTCACAAGAAACCAGGAAAGTGTTGTGTGCCACCGAAGATTCTGAGGTCCAACCTGACGAGCTGTGTGACGCTGATAGAAAACCCCTAATAATTCGTGAATGTGAAATGACACCATGCCAATATTTATGGTATGCCAGTCAATGGAGTGAGGTAATTAATAAGTATTTTTTATATTTATAGCTATTTTAAGGTTTTTGACTGTTATCAGACATGTAGGTATCTAAAAATGCAAAGCTATTATGAAGGTTTATGTGCATATTGTTCTATTTTAGTGTCAGCATCAAAGTGTCCAAAGTCCAAAAATAATTGATGGATTCGACCGTTACTTGATGGAAATTCATTTTATGTAACAATAAAACAGTGAAAACTTTGTTTTCAAACTTCCACAAAATTTATTTTAATTTTTTATCACTACAGCTGTTTCGGCTGATTGCCTTTCTCAAGTGATCTATTTTTGACATGCGTTTACACTTTTTAGTCTTTAATGAAATGGGTTGAGGAGCGGATCACTGTTTGTCTCAAGTTGGTTGTTCAGAATTATATCAGTGTTTTTTAATTTGTTGGATTCCATAGATTCTAACAAAGATAGTTTAAGGCCTTTATTTTGAATGAAGAATTTTAAATTCGTCATTAAAAGAATGATTATGATCTAGAAGGTGAAGGGCGTATGTAGAATCGGTTTTTCTATTATTGAAATCCCTTTTATGTTCTGCTATTCGTTTATTAAAATTTCTACCCGTTTGACCGATGTAAGTTTTTGGGCAGTTGCGACATTTAAGTTTGTACACACCATTGTGTAAACACCACTGAGTACACGTTTATTGAAAATTTTCTTTTTGGAAATTTGGGAATTTGGGATAAAATTAATCAGACCGGTTGAGGTTTTCCCTTAGTATTACACTAATTATGTAGTAAATTATTTTTAGGGCAGTGTAGTGTATCTTTATGTTGGTATTTTGTTCTTCCTATCTATTTCCTGGAATGTTACTGATATTCATTTTATTTCGTTCGATCACATTATCTCTCTCTGATAATCATTTACAAATTATAATTTTGCCTTATCAAAAAATTTTCTGCAGGACTTCTTTCTTGCTATTTCCATTTTGTATTCTTGCATCTATAATTTGTACCTCTTCCTTTTATGCTCTCATTTAAGACGATTCTCTATTTGTTCTTTGGATCATCTAAGTTAGTTTCTGTCATAATCGTTTATCTCAAAGAGCCCTTCTTCCTTAGCCAACCATTCCATTCGGTATGATCTATAACCCTCTAAGATCGAATATCAAGGAAAATTCTTTATTGGCATCCTCCATCGCTTTCTCGGTCTTCCAATACGTCTCTTCCTCTGCATTCTTGCATTCTTGCAAGGGAAGAGATTTATTGGAAGTGGCAGAATTGGCAGCTTAAGGGCTTCCGAGATCCCTTTCAAGAGCCCTCAGACACTACTACACTGATCACCAATGAATGCATTACTGCCACTGGGAACAGAGGATGGTTCAGATATACCGTCACAATGGTAACGTAGTTTGGGTGAAGGTTGTTGGGGTTGGCGCGGGTTTGGCGCGAACATTTCGACAGTAGGATTTTGATTCTCCAGCTTTGATGTTTTAGTTGATAAAAAGAGTTTTACTGATTTTAGTGCTCAGTAACATGTGGTGCAGGAGTTCAGACACGAACTATAGTCTGTGGTATATCGACGCCAACAGGACTGGAAACGGTAGATGACTCCAAGTGTGATCCTTCCAGACACTTTGAAACTATGAAAAACTGTACTGGAGAAAAAGATAAGTGTGACGGAGAATGGTTTACTGGACCCATGGGAGAGGTAAGGTATTATACAGTATACATACACATCAACTAACTAACGGTTTAATTAAAATTTCTTAGGAAAATTAGAAATTTGCCAGTTAAAGCTGAATCATTATTTATTTTTCAATAAACTGTAAATATTGCAATTTAGTCATAAAATTATACAAGGTGTGCCAAGCCTCTGGCTTATTTTGATTACTATGGAGTATATAAAAATATTCTAAACAAAACTTATGTATATCAAAGACAAAGAAACATTATTTTCGATTATACAGGGTCAGTCATATCGACGGAATAAACCGTGAAGTTGTGTTTTTTCATAGAATACACTGTAGGTATATTAAACTATTTTGAATGTGTTTTTAAAAACTATAAAGAATTTGTATAAGGTTTTATAGGTCTAAAGTTATTAGCTTTGAAATACTTAAAAATAAAAATGTAAATGATATGTGAAAGATTTTATGGGGTAGTGTTATTTTTAAATAATTTAATATCTTTAACATATAGCTATACAATATATATTGTAATCACTATTTTTAATTTAAAACTCCGAAACCGAAAACAAACTCTGTATTTATTCACACTACTTTAATCGTAGCTTTTCATTAGGTCCAATGTGAGAATATTAAGTAATTAGCGGTTGATTAAAGATTGGATTTTAAGTGAAGCACTTTTACCCCGTGGGGGAATTTTTGCGACTAAAATTGCGATGAATAGCCGCTCCGGATCCCACCTCGTGGTCTCGTCGTGGAGATGGATGCGTGAATATCGACACTCCCATGGTTCAAATTGTTGAACGATCAGCACATCGTTACAACTATAAAGTTTCGATTACTAGAGCCTAACATTTAAACTTTTACATAAAAAACAATCTAAAACGTTTAAAACTTTTTTTAATTAAACTGGTACGTTTTTTAAAAGAACCAAATTTCTGCTATAAACTACACCCAAAACCGTCTTCTTAGCGTAAAACATTAAATTCTCCATTTTTTATTCATATTTCAAATGCCTCATATTTGTTGCCACAACTCAATTGAAATTTCTTGTCATTGTTTTTAAATATTGATATCTAAAAATGGCAATGTTACTACGACTAGTCAATGACAGTAATCAATTTTATTGATCTCACGAGAATCGTAAAATTTGGCAAAAATCGTGAGGCCACGTTTTAAAAACTTTATAAAAACCTAATTTAGTCGCGACAAAATACAAAAACTGCATATGAACGGTGCACTCTTTACATTTAACACGCATCTTGATATTTTGTCAATAGGACACTTGCATCCAAAAATATCAAATTTTTATCGTCGAGCTGATAAAAATTTTATTGAATATTTATTTCTCACACGTAACTAACATTCAAAATTGATGGTCGCTTTAAGCGTTGTTTCTGAGAGAACAGAAACGAACGTTTTTGTTCTCTTAGAACAAGCTGTACGTTGCTGTGCACGTTGCTGTGCAATAGCAGCAACTTATGTTAAACAAAACATAAAAATGCCGTCCTTGTTTCTACGTGTACTAATGATGAAATTCACAATGTTGTTGTAAGAATTGGAAGCATTACCGATATTAACACCTACAGACCACCAGCTATATCCTGGCCAGCTCAAGTTATCTACACACATCCGCACACGTCAATATAACGTGGGGGACTACAACAGTTACCATGAGCAGTGGAAATATAAACAATGCAACAGCAATGGGAATGCACTTGGAAAATGGGCGGAGGATCGACCTACATTTATCAATGTTTTGTCTCTACTAATAAAAACGGGCAACTTCTAGCAGTCTCTTGAAAACTACTGACAGTCAACACCGCTCAGTGATCTATAATCACATCCATCTCTCGCCCACGGTGGAATCTAAAGAAAGCCATTCTTTTCTGCAGAACTGGTCAAAACTTAAGGCTGGATACCCCCTACCATCAAAACTACAAAAGATTCGTTGGAGCCGTAATAAGCACAACCAAAAATCATATACCAAGAGGCTACCTAGTTGGTCCCATAACAGCAAAGAACTGTACCAAAATGTCCTTGAAAGCGGCAATGCCGATGAACGGCTTCATAGCCTAGATGCAACGAGACAACAAAAACGGATGGAAACTGTAGAAAGTCTTAATTTTTATACATCAACTAGGCAAACATGGACACTGCTAAGAAAATTACGAAGCGGAACTCCCATAACAAGAAACAAAACAATAATTAATCAAAACACTATTGCCTCACATATGTTTTCATATGTGAGGCAATAGTGTTTTGAATAGTGTCAACCGAATCAGAACCCAACACGGCAGATACGGTTACATGATGCACAAATGGGATAAACGACCACCCCCAGTCTGTGACTGTCCACAAACCACACCACATCACAGAACAGTGTCCTACAAGACACTTTCAAGGCAGGTCAGTAGGTAAACCCTGTGTTATGTTGATATCAATAGTCGCCAAAAAACGATACGTGTCGTACTCTGTCTTCCATTTCAAGGTGTCAATTGTCGATTTGTATCAACTTATTTGTAGCTGTGGCCCCGCTTTCACTCAACACCTTCAGACGTGTTGTTTTAGAGAGAGACACACGTCGCTTGATAATTGAACGCATTGGTTAGAAAGAGATACAACTAATCGGTAAAAGCGTTCAAAATTTAGGTTAGAGTTAGCGGTTTGTTTATATGTAAACATTGTGTCGTATATTGTATAACCGTATCGTATAAATCTTATTTTTTTGGTATTTTTCACTTTTGATTTTATTTGCAAATGTCTCAATAATGGCTTCAATTATTTCAAAATTATTGCCCTAGACATTATTTGTTGAGACACTAATTGTAAATTTTGCCCTATAGTGTTTTGGTAGCTACCAGTAGCAAGAAATTGGAGGGTATCAAAAAACTTTATTGCAACTGGAACTGCCACAACATTATTATGGATGACCATATTTTGCATGATTCCATTTAATATATCTCTTGCTATATCTTTGGTTAAACGATACAATCCTTTAAACTGAAAATCTGTTAGTTCATTGAAAGGATCACTTTAATCTCTAAGTAAACGCCTATTAATGTTAAAGTTTCTTAATACTCTTAACCTCTCCTCATCCTCAAAAGCTAATACGTTCATATTGTTTACAGGCAACATTATCACTCAGTATACCTTACCTACTAAATAAATTACTTTTAAAATAAATTAAATTGCAAAATACTTAGTAATACCAAGACAAGAATGTCACTAAAATTATAAAGTCTAAAATTAAAAATTTTGCATTGCAATTGGATATAATTTTTTAATTAAAAACGTGTAGCCAATAACTGTACACTTTTACAGAGAGAATCTTGAATCCGTATATCTACCTTAACTATTGCCAATATTAGAAACACAAATAACAATGAATGTTTTTGGAGTGAACAATAAGATCTCGAAAATATCCGAAGCAAATGCGACACTGACACAGAGTACCAAAATAATAAGATGTAGTAATGAAAGTCGCAATGAAATATCCGTTTCTACATGTTGCAAGCAACATGACACAGGGTTCCACAGCTGAGGTTTTCCTAATGGCGATTCCAGAGTCGATAGACTGTATAAATATGTTCGTTTGTAAACATATATGTATTATATTTTATACTACAAAATATATGTATATCTGTATATATTATATATATATATATATATATATATATATATATATATATATATATTATATATATATGTATATATTAATGTGATATTTAAAATCTTAGTGCGCCAAGCAATTAATTAGCTAATTAATTAATTAAAATTATTTAAATAATATGACTATGATTCTATCACACTTTTTAATTCTCTTATCTCAGGGTTATATTCGTGCTTCAATATCTATGCATTACATGTGAAAGGTAAGGTCCAAAGAATACCGGAATAATAAAAAAACATATATGCTATAACACTATATATTGAAATAAAAATAATGAAATAAAATTCACACTCAAATGTTTTTAATATACAATATCTCATATATTGATACTCAAAATTTTGTTCTACGTACGTGAACCTTCAAAATTAGTGGTACAAACAATCTTAGTTAAAATCTCAAAATCCCAATTATTATTCTAAATCTCCTAATCAAAATATTTATATCTTTTAAAACTATCTCTCTCTGATGATGAGTGGTCCAAATCCTTGTTCCTTGTAGCCTATACTATCTACTCTTAGCAGCTCCCTAGGTAATCAGCAATCTTACAACAAATTGTTGCAAGTTTATCGTCCTTAATGATCTCCTTCAAATGCACGAATTGTTCAAATTATGCTAGCCTCTCCTCCTCTCAATAAACTGAATCTCTCGTTGGCCTGAATGAAAAATGACTCTTGGAATATCTTCTCTTTACGATAAACTGAATCTCTCGTTGGCCTGAACAGTGACTCTTGGAATATAAGTAAAAAAATATGACTTATAATCTTTTACTGGATCAGCTTCTGTCAGATACACTAACTACACGAGAACTCACAAACTTTCACTGCTACTGCTTCCTACCTCTGAGAAACTACCTGAGAACAACGGCCGTTCGCCTTGTACCCTTGGAAACCAACTGACTATCTTTTTTTCTTCAAAAACTAACTAAAGTCTCATTCTCAAACCAACCATCCCATCTTTTTCATTCTCATCCAATCAAAACGCGTCATACATCTCCCATTTCTTCATTTCGATAACACAAACAATTTTTACCTACAATTATAAAATTTCCTAAAACTTATTTACAAAATAATCTTTTCCTACCAAAAAACATATCTTTCTAAAATCTATTCTATTGTCCTAATTACTGCATAACATTTATTTGGAAAAACCGCTTCCATTGTCTAGGATTTCACTTAAGCTTATGCAGGTCACGCAAATATATTTGAACAAAGAAAATAATTTATGCATATCTTACGTTTTGTTCAATACAGGTAATCCAAAAATTATTTTAATTTTTTGGAACTTTGAAATATTTTATGCAAACCAATATTTTTCTCGATTTTACATATCATAACAATATATATATATATATATATATATATATATATATATATATATATATATATATATATATATATATGTGTGTGTGTGTGTATATCTGAGAGAATGGTTCATGCACTAAAAGTGGTAAACTTTTTTGCATCTTTTTTGGGGTAAAAAATTAAGTAGTAATCAGGTTGTTTGTATGATTTTTAGGGGTCAACTCTCTGACGACTGGTCTAAGTATCAAGCAGTGTTATTATAGTGATTTTTGAAAGAGGCACATTCCGTAATCTTTTTATATAAATTTTTTATCATTGTTTTATTTGTTTTTTATACAATACTAAATTTTTGTATGTAGATTAAGAATGGCTAGATGTCAAACATATTAAATATGAAATATTTCAAAAATTAATATTTTAGGCCTATAAAACCTTATACAAACTCTTCAAATGTTTAAAAGATATATTCAAAAATGGTTTAATATATAATAGGGTGTTTCATTAAAAAAACACAGACAGACATAGACATCTTTAATATACATACAGTTTTATTATAAACATTTTTTCTAAACTCCATAGTTTAGCCGTAAGTAAAGAAATCAAGAAGTTCGGCTTACGCTATATATACACTATGAGTAATTTGCTTTTAAACGTTTTAAAAGATATTTTTCCGGTCATAGTGGATGGTAGATATGTTGGTTAAAAATTAGTAAATCAGCTAATAATATCTGTTAAATTTTAAAACAAAAATTTTTCTTAGAACGTTTTATTTTTTAGTGTTCCAAACCATGCGGCGGAGGCACGAGATCTAGAAAACTCATTTGTATAAAAGACGGCCAGGTGGCTGATTCTTCTGCATGTGGGTCTGATAAAATTGTCTTCGCGGATGAAAAATGTAATGAAACACCATGTTCCGAAGGTAATAAAGATACTAGGCTAGTTACTTATAACTAATTTATAGCTTGGAGGAATTGTGTGCATCACTCAGTTTTTTCTACTGGTTTTCTTTAATTTTGCTAGGAAAAAAACTATTCTCAAATATATGTCTAGTTATCCCTTGCCACTATTATTATAGCTATAGCTACTAATGGATTAGATGCACATAGAAAGACAGATCAAATGGGCGATTTCGTTAAGGCGGCGACATCGGGTACGACCACGCGGCATCTACATATAAAAATATCTAAAGTTGCAGTTGTTGCCCCACTCTTTCATATTTTAAAAGCAGTAATTGCGCTGACATGACAGCTCTCTAGTGATACAAATAAGGAATTAAATTTTGATCAACCTCTGTTTTTTTTATAACATGTGTATAACTTTTGCCGACGCTAAAAAATGACAGTGAAAGATCCTTCTATTTGCGTCTATATTCTTTGCTGCTACATTTTTACCACTACAGCTTGCAGTGGTGCAATAGTTCATAAATAACTATTCAATATAAAATATTTTGGTACCTTTTAGCAAAATTTTAGAGAATCTATTAAGAAAACTAAGCCAACCTAAACCAAATTCTATAAAAAGGGAAAATTTTAGGGATGTGTGATGGAAAAAGTCTGCTTATAGATGGAATAGATACTAAACCATACGTTGACAAAAATAAACGTTTTTATTTTAATACAAATTCTTGATTACAATGTCTCCATGTTCTACATGTTGACATTTACACTAATTCAACTGACAGGGGTGCCAACAATTAATAAATATAGAATTTTTATACCAACAAAAATGCCCTCAACCTTATTTGATATACCAAAACACCAGAACAATTCCTCAAGCTATTGAAAAAAATTTTTACTGTAGTAATTCTAGAATAAATCTTTTATCTATTATAGTATATCTTTATTAATGTATGTTCTAGATACTATATTGCCAACAGACATAACGCAATCTGTTGATGAATCTGAACCAACAAAAGAGTCTTCCCAAAAACGGGAAGCTACAACACCTGTGAGTTCAACAAGTGAAGATCTGCAGTCAAAGGAAACTGAAGTTACATCAGCATTTGAAATGACAACTACTTCAAGTGTTTCTACGACTCCAGATCCTGACGACTTTGAAATTGTACCTGACACTAATTGCGATGATGGAGAATGGGTAATTAAAATGTATTAAATTACAAAATATTATTTTAAACTTTACATCTTTTAGGTTGAGGATGAAGAAGAAGAAGAATCAAAAATGCAAGGAGATGATCCGTTTGCTTACAACGATGTGATGATGGGTGATCAACCTGTAGAAGGTTCAGGTGATACTACCGAATCATCAACTGATACTTCCATCTTCACTGAAACGTCTATATCAACAGAAACTTCTGTTAGTACTGAAAAGACAGTCAGTAGCACAACTCCTGAGCCAGAAGTTATTATGGAGTCTGATCTTGGAAGGGATGTCACAGTTACTACCCAAAAAAGTGCTAAATCACCAGATTCTACCGATACTACCCTCGAATTTACTGGTTCTACTGAATCTCCTGAAACTACTATCGAATATACGGGTTCAACTGAATCTCCTGAATCAACTACAGAATATACTGGATCAACTGAAGCTCCTGAATCAACTACAGAATATACAGGATCAACTGAAGCTCCTGAATCAACTACAGAATATACTGGATCAACTGAAGCTCCTGAATCAACAACAGAATATACCGGATCAACAGAAGCTCCTGAATCAACTACGGAATATACCGGGTCAACTGAAGCTCCTGAATCAACAACAGAATATACCGGATCAACTGAAGCTCCTGAATCAACCACAGAATATACTGGATCAACTGAAGCTCCTGAATCAACTACAGAATATACTGGATCAACTGAAGCTCCTGAATCAACAACAGAATATACCGGATCAACGGAAGCTCCTGAATCAACTACGGAATATACTGGATCAACTGAAGCTCCTGAATCAACTACAGAGTATACTGGGTCAACGGAAGCCCCTGAATCAACTACCGAATATACGGGTTCAACTGAAGCTCCTGAATCAACAACAGAATATACCGGATCAACTGAAGCTCCTGAATCAACTACAGAATATACTGGATCAACTGAAGCTCCTGAATCAACTACAGAATATACTGGGTCAACTGAAGCTCCTGAATCAACTACGGAATATACTGGATCAACTGAAGCTCCTGAATCAACTACAGAATATACTGGATCAACTGACGCTCCTGAATCAACAACAGAATATACCGGATCAACTGAAGCTCCTGAATCAACTACAGAATATACAGGATCAACTGAAGCTCCTGAATCAACTACTGAATATACAGGATCAACTGAAGCTCCTGAATCAACTACTGAGTATACTGGATCAACTGAGGCACCTGAATCCACTACAGAGTATACTGGATCAACTGAAGCACCGGAGTCCACTACGGAATATACCGGATCAACTGAAGCTCCTGAGTCAACTACAGAATATACTGGATCAACTGAAGCTTCCGCGTCAACTACAGAGTATACTGGATCAACTGAAGCACCTGCATCTACTACTGAATATACGGGTTCAACTGAAGCTCCTGAATCAACTACAGAGTATACTGGATCAACTGAAGTACCTGAATCAACAACTGAATTCACTGGATCTACTGAATCTCCGGGTACTACAGTTGAATTTACTGGTTCAACTGAGTCCCCTGAATCTACGGCAGCTCCTGAATCGACAATAGAGTATACTGGGTCAACAGAAGCTTCTGAAAGTACAACAGAATTTACAGGTTCTACGGAAGCGTCAGAAAGTACAACAGAATTTACAGGCTCCACGGAAGTGCCAAGTAGTAGCACAGAATTTACAGGCTCTACAGAAGCTCCTGAAAGTACAACAGAATTTACGGGTTCTACTGAAGCTCCAGAGAGTACAACAGAATTTACAGGCTCTACAGAAGCCCCAGAAAGTACCACCGAATTTACAGGTTCTACTGAAGCTTCAGGGAGTACAACAGAATTTACAGGCTCTACAGAAGTTCCAGAAAGTACCACCGAATTTACAGGATCTACTGAAGCTCCAGAGAGTACAATCGAATTCACTGGTTCAACAGAATCAACAGTATCATCAGAATCAACTGAATCTACTGGAAGTACATCTGAATTTACTGGTAGTACAGAAAGTACTTCGGAGTTTACAGGAAGTACTGAAAGCACCACAGAATTTACAGGCAGTACCGAGAGTACGTCTGAATTTACTGGTAGTACTGAGAGTACTTCTGAATTTACAGGTAGTACTGAAAGCACAACCGAATTCACAGGAAGTACAGAAAGCTCAACAGCATATACTGGAAGCACGGAAAGTACTACTGAATTTACGGGAAGTACCGAAAGTACAATTGAGTATACGGGAAGCACAGAGAGTTCAACTTCTTCAGTTAGAGACCTATTCCTACCAAAACCACGTTTGTGTAGAAGAAGAAAGATTAAAAAATGTAAGAGCACACCATTTGGATGCTGTTGGGATAATATTACACCAGCTCAAGGTCCATTTGATAAAGGATGTCCGATGCCCGAAACTTGTAAGGAATCTAAATATGGATGTTGTGATGATGGTGTGTCTGCAGCTCTTGGGCCACACAATGCCGGGTGTCCATCGTCCCATTGCAAAGAAACTCTATTTGGATGTTGTCCTGATAACAAGACGCCGTCTCAAGGAAATGATAATGAAGGTTGTCCTCCTGCTTGCTTTAGTTCAAGATACGGTTGTTGCAATGATAATTCTACTGAAGCTACAGGTCCTAAACACAAAGGATGTCCAGAATCGACTACAACTCCTATACCAACAACTGAATACGCCACTACAGAGGGAACTACTGAAAGTGCAGTTTCTACTGAATCCGAGGAAACTACAACATCAATATCAACTACTGAATTTTCAACTGAAACAACACTACCAGCAGATTGTAGACTCGCAACGTATAGATGTTGTCCTGATGGAGTTACAACGGCCACTGGTCCTGGCTACCAAGGTTGCGGCCTTCCATGCTCAGATAGCAAATTTGGTTGTTGTCAAGATGGTAAAACTCCTGCCCATGGTCCAAGTGGTGAGGGTTGCTGTCTTAATTCAACATTTGGCTGTTGCCCCGATGACATTACTCCAGCAAGTGGACCTAACCAGGCTGACTGCGGCTGTGAACGTTCACCTTATGGATGTTGTCCAGATAACAAAACTGCTGCTCTAGGCTATTACAACTATGGCTGTGGATGTCAATATTCTGCTAATGGTTGTTGTCCAGATAGAGTTACTCCCGCAGCTGGACCCGACTTTGATGGTTGTTTGTGTCATACATTCCAGTTTGGTTGTTGTCCAGATGGAGTAACGCCCGCCGAAGGGCCGAGAGGGCAAGGTAATTTTTATCATAATTTTAGATTTCTTAACACTAATTTTGCAAAAGGAATGCAAAAAGTTTTTTCTGTATCAATATTCCTTATCTTTCCTTTGGATTATAAACATTTATCTTTTTTTATACTATATCTGTTTAGGTTGTGGTTGTAGAAATACTGAATTTGGCTGTTGTTCTGATGAAAAAACTCCTGCATCGGGACCCAATAACGAACGATGTACCTGTGAATATACTAAATTTGGTTGTTGCAGTGATGGCGTTACTGAAGCCAAGGGTGAGAACTTCGAGGGATGTGCTGTAATACCGCAGAACCTTCAAGGTAAAGTGATTAGTCGTTGTATTATTAAGTTGTAGTTTTATTGTAAGACTGTTATGATAAGTTTCCTTCATAGGCTCATTACCTACTATTTCAAAACAGATGTGTCGATGGTCTAAACAAGAAATCACATCTGACACATCCCATTTTTTTATAGTTCTAGCTACACGAGTGGTGGCTATTTTTATATTAATTATTATAATTAATTGTGTATTGTATGTGTAAACATGTTTCTTCATATAGAGGTCACTACAGCTACAACCGTGGATGGACTGCATCTTTTTAATTTGAGTTTCTTACAAGTTCTTTCTAATGAGTAAAAAAAACACAAAATACGTATAGAAGAATGGTGAGTCGAATTGAAGTTAAGATTGCTTCTATTACAGGAATTAATATTAAATTTAACTGTCTTCCGGGTTGAACCGCGTCGATTATCATTGCGCTGAGCTTTTGACATCCTCTTCGATGTCTTCTTCAAGAAATTCAAGATTAGGATATGGACCCACCAATGGTCTATAGATTTCTTATTTGGCCCTAATAAAACCAGTTACACAGAATCTACTAACACGATCTATTAGTAGTTGTAGTTCTTAATCTTATGCTATTTTACTTTTAGTTGGTTGTTCTCTTGTCAAAGAAAAGGGTCCATGCAGAAATTACACTGTTAAATGGTTCTTCGATACGGAGTATGGTGGCTGCTCACGTTTCTGGTATGGTGGCTGTGAGGGTAACGCAAACCGTTACAAAACTAAGGAAGAATGTGAAGAGATTTGCGTAGAACCACAAGGAGCTGGTAAGTACTTCTTTATATTCGCTTCACGTATTAGATGCTGCTGCTTGTTACGATACACATCGTTTTTTTTGTATCGTAATTTTCCTCTTCCTGGACTAGGTATGTCTGATAATTTTTAAGGCAAGCAATTTTGCTTAATTCATTGCTTACTGGATTAGCAGATAGATCAATTTTTCTTTGGCAATTTTTAAATTAAAAACTATGGCTGAGAAATTTGCTAGATCTGTTCAAATTGTTACTTTGATTGGTAATGGAATGAGTCAAAGAGAAGTGGCTACACAGCTTAGAGTCAGTCATTGTATGGTCCAAAAAATGTATCAACGATTCGTAGAGACTGGATCTCACGAACGACGACCAGGATCAGGCCCGAGAAGAATAACGACGGCCAAATAAGACCGTTCTTTACAAGGCACTTTTTTGCAAAATCAGTTCTTGACGGCTAGATCAATCCACAACCATTTTCAGAATGCTCATGGACGGACTTTAAGCACTTTTACCGTGAGAAGAAGGTTGAGGGAATTTGGTCTAAGGGCTCGCTGTCCAGCAACAGAACCTTTGTTAACAGCAGCGTATCGACAACGCCGACTACAGTTTGCTAGAGGCCATGAACATTGGACGATATAAGACTGGAAAAATGTTTTGTTTAGTGATGAGTCCAGGATGGCTCTTTATGGCTCAGATGGTCGCATCAAAACATACAGAAGACGTGGGGAACGATGTGCTGCTTGTGTTCGACGAGGACGTGTTGCTTTTGGAGGAGGTTCGGTAATGTTTTGGGCAGGCATTTCATTCGAGGGCCGTACTGATCTGGTATTTATTGATAGAGGAGCGTTAAATGCACACCGATACATTACCGAAATTCTAGACGAGCATGAAATGCCTTTTGCTGGGTTTGTCGGCGAAAACTTTATTTTTATGCAAGACAAAGCGCGGCCACACGTAACCAAGATGCAATATCTGCAAACTGTCGGTGTGCCAAAAATGAACTGGCCAGCTCAAAGTCTAGATTTGAACCCGATTGAACATATTTCGGACCAATTCAAACGAAGGGTAAGAAACAGAATACCTGCTCCAATAAATAGTGAGCAGTTTCGGTTGGCGCCCATGGAAGAATGGGAAGTTTTTCCTTAAAACGACATTCAGAATTTGATCAATTCAATGCCAAACCGAATGAGAAGTGTAACTCACAATAGAGGTGGTAATAAACAGTATTATTAATCACGACTTAATTGTAATTTTATAAAGAAAGCAGAAAAAATGTACAATGTTAATTTTTTAATTTTTGTATGATTCTTTAAATTTAAAATTGGCAACAATTTTAGGTGGCCTCTTTTTCATGACGCGTTGTGTATGTACTATAAAAAGCTAAAAATACCAAGTCCTTACTTATTTTCTCCTGCAGGTATCCTTTGTCGACTCTTGCCAACACGGTCTCTCCAACGATGCTAAGGGAGCCAAGAATAATATTCCTGAGCACATATAATATTCTATCCTGCTCAAGAAAATATCATTAATTTATTTACGTTTCAATGCAGTGGTTATAGATATTATCGAAGTATTGTCAAAGGCTGCCTCTATATCCAAAAAGCTCCCAGCATCACCTCTTTATTTTCAATTGTGTTTTCCACTTTGTTTAAAAGTCTGTGGAGTGCTAACTCGATTGAATTCCCTGCTCCATAGGCATGTTTTTGATGTATTTGACTATATACCAATATTTCATCCATGATATACCTGTTGAGCAGTTTCTCTATTGTCTTCTGTAGCTGTAAAAATTACATTAGACTTATTGGCCCTAGATACTTTGCCTTTTCCCATTCTTTTGTCCTCGGTTTGGTAAGGTACTCTAATTTTATTCCATCCTTATTCATATATTGCATCTTCTGCAGTACCAAGTTCTTATCCCTTTTATAATGACACTGGATAAATACCATCCATTCTTAGTGATTTATACGTCTCGCTTGAGTTTAGTAACAATACTACTTTTTCATAGTTTACAATCTTTTTGACTGCCTGCTAGTTAGTTTTTGAGGCCCTCTTCAAGGTCCTTTCAGTACGTTGTTTATCATCATAGCTATCTTAATTTTATTCTACTAAAACTGATGTTGTTTGATTCCAATACAAATTTGTAATTACAACGCCTCTTAGAACTTCGATAAATATAGAGTTGTTAATACGATCAAATGCCTTTTAGAAATCAATAAAACAACAATACATGTCTACACTTATATCACGACATCTTTGGACAAGTATGTTCATCCCAAACAATGTATCTCTCGTTCTCTATTATCAGCACAGGTTATGTATTGATATACTCGCCCTTTAATTTTAGTAGTCAGTTTATTGGTTGTGTTTTCTTCTTTGAGAACACGCTTTAAAGTCTAATATAAGTATGAGTGCTTTTAATTTTCTCATTGTGCTTTCTCCATTTTTCTCTCTGCGTCTCTTATATAGGCAGTATATTGTATAGCATTTCGTCCGCGTGGTTCTCCCCACTCCATGGTTATTTTGGATTTTTAAATAGCTTGGTCTTTGAAGAAAATCCTCTCCGTTAGAGAGGACAGGTTTTTTGGAATACTGTAATGACAGCCTCATTTAGATCATTCACTGCGATTTCTATGACTTTTGCTGCTCTTTCCTGTAATGGATGACTTTTGCTGTATCTAATGTGCCTATAGTCTGAGCAGCTCTCCTCCACAGACACATTACATTTACATCTACGTTGCATTATAGTTTTCGTTATCTTTATATTCTGCTAGGATCACTTTATATCGTCAATTACTAAATTTTCATCGATTTTCTTCCACTGAGAGCTGTATCAATCTAAAAATAGAAATAAGCTGGGAGAAGTAATTACCAAAACTTTTTGTTAAATATTCTGCGCTATTTTTACGCTGTTTTGTCTCCTTGTATATGTATATTTTCAGTTTTTTTTTTCAATCTTTTTTATTTTCAGATAGGTGCAATTTACCCAAAATATCAGGTCCTTGTGAAGGCTACTACCAAAAGTACTATTACGATAAGGAATTAAAAACTTGTACTCCATTCGTATATGGAGGTTGCCTCGGCAACAACAACCGGTTTGAAACAAGAGAAGAATGTATGAATCTTTGTGCTCAAGATCAAATTCAAGGTAAGTATTATATCAATATATACCAACTAAAATATCAGAAAATGACCAAATAAATTTTATTTTGTACCCAAAATCTAAAACAGTCTCATGAGTGTCATGAGAGGCCAATACTGACTTACATAAAAGTTGTATACCGGCGGCGTGATGCCGACGTAGACTCACGTGATAGGTTGTCAGAAAATGCTGCGTAGCTTAATAACGGCCTCTCGAACTCATTTAAAATACACGGGGATATTTCGAGCCCGACCAGATGATCTAGAAAGCATCTGGCCAGCCCATAATATTTATAAGTAACAATTGCGTAATTATATTTTTTTGTTATATATTCATAGTAAGAACACATTTTATACAAAATAAGCTTTATTTTCATAAAACAAAACGTAATAACATTATATTAAAATTTTATCTAAAGTACAAATTTAATTTATTGTCACAGAATGTATGACAAAAAAACAGTCAAGGCAATAGAATTTTTTGCAAGGCATCACATGTCCATGAGGTGTTGGTTGTTTTCCTCTGTGTTATTTGCCTTCCTTGCTTTTCTACCATTTTTGCGTAACACGTTGTAGATCGTCTTCTGCCTGCACGACCAACATCGCTGAGTTTTTGATTATTTTCCATAATGACTGGTGTGACAATAAAATCTCCTTATATTCTACCCCTTCTTGAATTTGGTAATCATCACGCTTTATGCATTTGATGCGCGCATAGGATTATAGTGCTGCTCAAGCCCATCGATAATTTTCTGTACCATTTTATTCCTTTACATAATGTCGAATTATAGCTTTTCATTTGATCTGATATTTCAATAAAGTTGTTATATTTATTATATTCGATGACATTCTATGGCTTTACAACATCACAGTGTGCCTTCTACATTGTCACCATTTTGTCATCGAATTTGGTACTAATCATCAGCAAAATTGTATATTTTAGATCCTTGTCAACAAAAGAAAGACCCAGGACCGTGCCAAGGTAAGCACCAGAGATTCTACTACGACAAAGAACTTGCACAATGCCAAGAGTTTACCTTTGGTGGCTGTAAAGGAAATAACAACAACTTCGTTACGATAGAAGCCTGTAAACAACAGTGCGCTCCAGCTGGCGAGAGAAAAGGTAAAATATATCATTTTGATGTTTAAAAACGCTAACGAGAGTTTAATATAGCATGGGTAGTTACAGATTTGAAAGTTTGGTTGGTTTGAGGTTTCACTTTTTTTGTAAGATTACCATTAACATTTGAAAAAAGTTAGTTTGATAATTTGCTATTTCGTTAGATCTTTACAGCTGACTAGAAAAATATTCTCGACTTCTAAAAACGTCAATTTTAGATTTTAAAATTACTCTCTGTTGTGTAAGAATTGCTTGACTAAATTTAATAACACTAAGGTGAGATTTGTAAATCCTAATTTTTTTAATTGAAAGTAGATTTGTATAATCATTCAAAAGAACTCTTTTCCTTTTTAGCAACAATAGTATTCTTTTAATATAATACAAAAATTACCAGTCCGTTCAGAAGCTGTTTGTTATAAACCAATTAATGTTAGTATCCACCAGAAAAGTCAAATAAAATCATTTTTATAACCAAAAATCGTTTTGTAAAGTCATTATCTTAGTGTTAGTTCTTATTGTGTAAAAGTCCTCTTCTTTGACTTCTAGAATTTTGGTTACATTTTTTTTCGCTTCTTCTTTTTGTTCTTTTATTTCCTCGTCTTCCGTCATTATGTTTGAGGCGAGCATCTCATCTGCATTAGAAATCAGATCCCCTTTTTGATATTTTGTAAAAAGTGTTTTATCTTCTTGCTATTACCCCTTATTTCTGAAGAGAAATTTTTTCCTACTATTTGAACCTCCTGCTGATATACTAGAAATTCCAGTAACATTTCTTTTATGTCTTTTCGTAATTCTACTACTTGTTTTACTTTTTTTTAATTTTCCTAATAGCAAATTCAATAAGTCGTCCTTTTGTTTTTGTTAGAGATCTTAGTATTATTTTTTTTACTTTATTTATTTGTCTGTATTTTCGCGAGCAGTTATTTTGTAACATTTTCGAATTGGTAAAAAGTAAAGTCCACCTTGACAGTTCAGACGCTTTAAAATTGTATAATTACCAATTTTTTAGATTTACAAATGTTCAATATTTATACGTTAATTTAAAAATATTTCGTACTTACAGTTCAGCTGCTTTGTGATTTTATATTCTTCTCCTACTTTGTATCACGATGATCATTTTTATGCCACTTTTGGTTTAAAAACGTTCGTATAAGCCCAATATTCGAAAATTCCACGGAACGATTTTCAAACCCGTTTTATGTAAAACTATAGAGATGGAGCCTTACTCGTATAAAAAATTTACAATTAAAGTATAGAGATGTTATGGATAAAATAGATATTATAGAAAAATATCCCATATATTGACATCATCTTTAATGCCTTCTTGAAGGCTTTTAAGGACTTATGACTCTCGGGCCCCCAGACCACTAATCAATGCAGTACTGCAGGGTCGAGCGAACGATGTTTTCTTTGTAAGAGATCTCCATGACGAAGGTAACCGAATGCCGTCATCTCTTTATTAAAACAATTTGGCCTTTTTTCAATTTCTATGGCTTCCCGGATAATTCTTGGTTTAGAAGGGCATGGGGGCTATGGTTCTGGAGTTTTCTTCAAAATCAATTTTGTAACCTCTATGAAGATGGTGTTGACCTAGAGATGAAATTGAATCGTAATTGCGAATAGAAATAGAATGTTCATAAATCCTATTTGGGATTCTACAATTTGTTTGGCCTATATAAGATCTGGGTAGTATACACAAGGAAGTTCATAAACTCCGTGTTGTTTATTTGGAATGTTGTCTTTAATTGATTGGACAAGATATGAAAGTTTTTCTTGGGGGGTAAATATTCCTCTTGATTTAAGAATTTTGTCGATTTTGTATGTGACACTTTTGATGTAAGGAAGAAGAGCTTTCGTATGATGAGGGTGTGAGTCTTTGGGTTGAGATTGAATAGGAGATTGATGTCTGTAGATACTCTTATTGATGTGATTTTCGCGGTAACTCTTTTGGATGAGGGCTTGTTTTAAACTAGAGTTCAACGGGTCTACTTGCATCATCGCAAAGGCGTATTCATCTGAAGACAAGCGTATTAATAACTGAATTAATTTGTCAAATGGGATGATGAGAGTTGGCATGCAAGTAACGATTGGTATTGGTTTTCACCTCAATCGTGAACTGGATACTAGGATGTATACCATTCAGATGAGTTTGAAAAGATACCAAAACATCCCTGCCATGGGGCCAAATGACGAATGTATCGTCGACATGTCGTAGCAAACATGTGGGTTTGAGCATTGATGTGAATAGTGCTCAGGTCTTGAAGTCTTCAGTTGTAAGCACTGACAATGGTACAAAGAGGAATTTCGGGTTTGTGAATTTTGAGAGGCCAATATATTCGAGGTGTCCTGTAAACTTTTCATGAAGGATTAAATTATAATGGCTTTTATTGTTTTCTCTAAGCTGTTAGATTATTAGAAGTATTAATAAGATTTGAGAGTTTATTGATGTAAGAAGTGTTTAGGATGACGGTGGCATTTCCTTCTTCGGTGATCGACGGAAAGAATGACTAGGTTTTGGTTTGACTGAAATTATTTCAGGGCTTTTTTCTCAGTTTGGGTGATGTTTGGAGTAGGAGGTTTTGAGTTTCTAAGAATTCTAGCGATGTCTTGTCCAGTTATTTCAACATCTTCGGAAAATAACCTGGAGATGGCTTCTTCAGTTTGATAGATGATTGTTTCAATTTGGAATGAGACTTAGGATATCAGAGTAATTGAAATTTTTTTTCAAGTCAAGCTTTAGTAGCAATGGTCAAAATAGGGGTATCAGAAAAGTTGTGAACCACTGTAATGGATTTCAAAGTTGTAGGTTTTAGAATTTGTTTGGCAATGCGCTTCTGAGTTTCCGTCTTAGATAGTGTTTAGGGCTGTCTGTGTATTATAAAACTATCTCATAATATAGGATGTATATTAAAAGAATAAATAGTACTGGTCTTACTAAGAATTTGGGAGAAAGAAGAAGAAGAAGTACGGTGTTTGAGTTTAAGAAATTTGAGAATTACTTAATGGTCTTGGTAGGCTTTAAGGAATGTTAAATCACAAAGAAGACGATTCTTACATAGTAGCAGATTGCTATATAATTTAGTGAACTGGTAAAATTCCTCTCCGTACAGGCGCATAAAATGTTCCGAAAGATTTCCGCGGTTAGTACAATTAAACCAAAAACTAGGATTAATACTATTACAAGAATTAATATTAATATTAAACAACAGGCTTCCGGGTTTAACCGCCTCGATTATCACTGCTTCGGGAGTTCGATATATATAGAGAAGAAAATTACAAAACAGATGTTAATGGTAGTCTTACTTAGACGAAATGATTGATTTTAATATACAAATTCATCACTTTACTAACACACTTTGATCAATCCACATACAATCACAATAACACAGATACACCATACCTTTATTTTGTCTTGTGAATGTTAACTAACAGCTCGTGTGCATTAGATATCTGCTCGTTACCAAAATATGAAGGTAATTGCACGGAGGTGAATGCCAACTGGTACTATGATTCATCAAGAAAGAATTGTGCACCATTCTATTACACTGGTTGTTATGGTAATCTTAATAACTTTGAAACTAAGGAAGCATGCCAGGCTGACTGCCCGCCGGAAGTTGGTGAGTTTCAATAATTCTGTTGAAGCTTTTTAAAAAGAACATCTTTTGCGTTATTATATACAGCTTTAAATCGCTTAACTTTCCAACTTATTAGCTTAACGATTCTATGCAGCTCTTGATGTGGTTACATTTTTGTAAAATACGTTGATCAAATTGGTTCTAAGCTTCATGCGCTGATATTTTTTAAGTAATCTCATAGCCAACGGCCTTTTGGTACTGCAGAAGCAGCGAGACTGATGTGATTATCTTTAAACTTCATTCGCTTAATTTGTTATAAACAAAACATATAAACGGGATTATTTTGTTCATTTGACGACGAAAAATATTAAAGCGGCTCGATCAAAGAATACCGAGGAAATACGCATCTGTGATATATGAACAAACTTTATAATGGTTTATTATCGACCTCGGCGACGCAAATAGGATTGAAATAACATTTCGGTGTTTTAGCATATACGAGGTGATTTCAATACATATCAAAAATTTTTAAAATGCTACAGCACAATGGTCCTTGAAACCACTCGAAACTACACGAAACCTTCTAATTGTTGTGCTTGAGAGGTAAAATATAATATAATCGCTTACAAAGATACTAAACACATTAAGCAAGATAGCCTAATGATCATTAGAAATGCCGATTGTAATTTAATTATGTTTGATAAAATGTTTAGAAATGGTTTAAAACCGTATATAAACAAATTGAAATGTTTTTCACAAAAAGTTTATTTTTAGCACAAGTATTTTCATTTTTAAACTAAAAAATCTAATATATTTACCAAACCCCTAACTTTAACCCGTAATCGCAGACGTCTCAAAAACGGTACACTCTAATAGACATATGATCAATCAAATTGACAAAATTTTTTAGTTTCCTTTGAAGCATTTTTTAACAACAATTAAAAGTGATATTTTAGTACTTTTTATATCTACTTTGTATATAAATTATCCTTAGCGTAGTATTTATTTCAGAAAAAAATTATTAAACAAGTAGGTGAAAGAAATTTACGTTAAGAAACATTATGCAAGAATAGTATTTATTGTACTAAAAAAACAAAATATGCAAAACTATGAATAATGGCTTAATGACACATATATTTAGTTTACACCTAAAATTTAGCAGAGTGTTAAATATTATGGAGAACACCAGTGCAGTTTACCGTGCCTTTTACTAAAACGAAAGGTTTTCTGCGAATTCCTTTAATCGTTTAGAGGTGTAAGTTGATTGAATGTACTGTACCTATACCTCCGTGGAAAAAAGTTATGAGACAAAATAGAAAAATCTCCTGTGTTCCTGTTTTTTTGCTTCGATTTTTGAACATATTTTTGTAAAAAAAAAAATTGGTTTTAAAAGGTTTTAACTTTAATTTTGAACAAATTTTCATTAGATGTTAATGTAATAAAATTGCATAGAATTTATCCAAATGCTTCCTAGTACATAAGGACAAATTCACTTCTTTCTCAAAAACGCAGCCCTTTAAATGGTAGCCCTCGCGGTTTTTATTATATTTGGGGGTCCATTGACGATATGAAATAATAAAACCACTTTAACGTCGTAGTTCCTTTTAGCCCTATTTTTTTTAACATAATCAATAGATATATTAATAATATTTTGTTTCTAATAGAAAAGGACATCTGTATTCTCCCTGCCGACACTGGAGAATGTGATCGTTATATTGATAGATGGTACTATGACACTAAAGCCCAATCTTGTAAACAGTTTTACTACGGAAGCTGTGGAGGAAACGGTAATAATTTCCTAACACAACAAAGATGCCAAGAACGATGTGAGACGAGAGAGGCACCACCACCAACATCAGCACCAGCACCGATACCTACGGAAGAGCCACGACCAGCTCCAGCTGAAACTCCAGCACCATTTGTTATTGGTAAGTAATATTTGAGTAATAAGTTAAACTAATTAAAGTGTTCGTTGCTGTTTATCAGGTAGCGGGTAGGAACTCCTCTGGATAGTCCTATCAGGGAAAAATTAATCAATCCCTGCCCTCTGCAGATTTCAGGGGTTTCCACACCCTGGAAACTAGTACCTGCTTAGAATCCCTTATCCAGGGTCACGGATGAAGTTCACAGCATCAGCCACGGCGGAGAAGAATACCTTCGGTACGACGTGATGCAAATCCCCTGATTTTAGGGATTGTATAGAATCACTCGCCAACCCACTCGGCAAGCGTGGCGTTTTAAATATGCTAAAACCTCACAAGTTGAAGATATCGAGTATCTATACGAAATTACCCCAAATGAGTATAGTTATACACTCAGAATCTCACACTGAGCAATCAGTCAGCCCCATGGATTCTGGAGGAATCAAATATTCGACTGAATCTAATAAGAAAAACTACCCATCATTGCTTTGTATAGCCACTTACAATATAAGAACTATGAGGATTCAGAATCACCTTGATGAACTAGAAGAAGAGCTTTCAAATATTAAATGGGATATAATTGGACTATGCGAAACTCGCTTACCAGGAGAAGCATGTACCATCTTAAAATCTGGTCACCAGGTATAACAGAAAAACTCCGTAGAAAAACATCACATAGGCGGTGTAACGTTCCTGATAAACAAACGAGCTCCCTATAAACTAACGAAGTTCTGTGCCGTATCAAACATATCTTGTCATCGCTTTGATACAGCTTACAGATAATACATGGATATGCACTGGTAGGAAACTCAACAGACGAGAAAGCTGAATCGTTTTACGAGGATTTGACAACAGCAAGGAACCAAGAAAAATTACACTTCGTAATAATCACAGAAGATTTTAATGCAAAAATTGGAACAAAAGAAGAGAGCGACACACAATAACGAAAGGGATGAGATGTTGTACAACTACTTAAACAACGAAAGTTTACTTTGTCTTCAACACTCTCTTTAAAAAATCTAAATAACGTAGATGGACATGGATCAGCCCAGACAAGAAAACGAAGAACAAAATAGACTACATACTCTCCAATAACAATAACATATGCACCGACATGACACTACTAAACAAATTCTATACTGGGGGTGACCATAGATTGGTTAAAGTGAATATTAAAATACGGATGAGAGTAGAACGAAACAAACTTATTAAACGAGAACGATACCCAACCACCGATGTCCTGATTCAAAAACAAACGGAATACCAAAAAGAGCTAAGTACAAGACTAAAATCAATAGAGACACTATAACAAATGGATATAAACGAACTAGCCAATAAAATAAAAGTATCTGTACATCGGTTAAGAAAATATGCTCAAACACAAAAACAGCCAAAACTCCAACCTAATACAATTAAACTACTCCAAGAAAGACGAAACAGAACAGATCGAACTTCGGACACCTTCAAAAGTTTAAACAAAAACGCGAAAAAAGAAATTGGGAACGATCATAGAAACTATACTAACAATCTAATAAAAGATATAATACAAGATAACTGCAATATGAAAGTACTGAAAGCAAAATACTTAAGCAGTATAACAAAAACCATCGAAAAAAAAAATGAGAAAAACGTCACCGTCTGAGACAGAAAGGAAATAAGCGAGGCCAATGAAAAATTCTATAGTTAAGTATACTTGGTAAATACACAAACAAAACAACGACGTACTGAACGAACAATAATTAACACCGCCTCAGAAGAAATACCGGACATAACCGACTATGAAATAAGAATGGCCCTAAATCAACTAAAAACTAATAAATGTCCGGGAGAGGATAAAATTACAGTTAAAATGTTGAAAATTGTTGGCAGAAAAATGGAACAGGTAATAAATATTTTATTTGATAAAGTAATTGATGAAGGAAAGATTCCTCAAGAATGGTACAACTTCGAAGTCATTCTACTATTCAAGAAAGGAGACAACGCAAACATCGAGAGTTACCGACTAATACTCTTGCTATCACATCTGTATAAATTACTAACTAAAATCATAACCAACCGCTTGATTTCTATCAACCTATCGAGCAGGCTAAATTCAGAAAACATTTTAGTACCATATACCACTTGCACACCGTAAGAACACTAATAAAAAAAAATGCACCGAGTATAATGTTCCAATTCATATGGCGTTCATCGATTTCCAAAAAAAGCATTCGATTCCATTGAATTATGGGCTTGAATCTCTAGAAAATGCACGTATAGATTCAAGATACACTAATATAATTAAAAACATATATGAAAATGCCAAAGCTGGACGAAAGCACAAAAAGTAATCCCATAAGACTACAACGGGGAGTAAGACAAGGAGACACCATCTCTCCTAAACTATTTACCCTTGCTCTTGAAGACGTTTTTTTTTAAACTAGAATGGAACAACAATGGTATTAACGTCGACGGATCATACTTAAACCACTTGAGATTTGCAGATGACATAGTTTTAATAGCCGTTAATATCCAAGAACTAAATGACATGTACTACTAAATGTTAAAAATAAAAACTAGAAAACTAGAAAAATTTGACAAACCAAATCAAGATGCTGAAATTAAAAGAAGAACACAACTGGCATGGGGCGCTTTCGGCAAACTAGCATATATCTTGAAAAACACCTCCATTCCTGTAAACTTAAAGAAAAAGGTGTATAACACATGCATACCACCAGTTTGTATCTACAGCATGGAGACAGTAGCCCTTACCAAAAAATCTGCTAAAAATTAGAAACAACGGAAAGAGCAATGGAACGAATAATGCTTGGAATATCACTGAGAGTCAAGATTAGAAACACCGAGATAAGACGTAGAACGAAGATTAGGGATATTGTGGAAGAAATTACAAAAATAAAATGGCGCTGGGCAGGTCACGTAGCCCGATATAATGACAACAGGTGAACATGGAGAATTCTAGAATGGAGACCAAGGACGACAACAAGAAGCATGGGCCAATGGGTAGATGACATAAGAGCAGTGGAAGGTAAACAATGGATAAGATTGGCCTAAGAAAGAGAAAGATGGAAGCCATTGGGAGAGACCTACATTCAAGAGTGGATGGAAAATGGTTGATAAAGAGAGAATTGCTGTTTATGTTTAATATTGTTCACCAAATAAAAACTAATAATTATATTAAATTTCCTAGATATATTCTCGTACGCATTTTATATTCTCTTCAATTTTATGGCATTAATATTGTAAATCATTACCATCATTGACGTTATTTATCGTGTCATTCTAAAAATTATAAGGGTATAGCTTATATGGTAATAAAAGAAAAATGAATAACCAAAATTTGTAACAGTAGTTTTTGATTTTTGTAGATATGTGTTTCCTTCCTAGCAATACTGGACCTTGTAGAAATAGAGTTAGTAACCGCTCGTACTTCTACGATTCCCGTGACGGAGTCTGTAAAGAATTTGTATACGGTGGTTGCGAGAGTAATGGCAACAACTTCAACTCTGTAGAAGAATGTCTTCAAAAGTGTGGAGCCGCTCAAGGTAATGCTGCAGATTACTCAGCTTTTACGCAAATCACTACATATTACCATCATCATCAGCTTCATCATCATCAACCATTATTTCTACGGTTTAACAAATGCTATATTTTTCATGCAGCTAATCGTTAAGACAAATTGTTGAAATTTTTAATAAACTCCAGATCGTGTTGATTGGCTAATGTGATCCTATTGTAAGGTTTATTAACCCTTGAGTAGACGGGTGGGGCTTGTGAGACCAGCGACAATTTATTTCTAATACCTCACTGCGTATTTTATTGCGATCGGCCCAAAACATATCACTGTTGTTTCAAAAATTTCTGACAGTAGCATCTGCATTTATTTAGCAAACTTTTACTCAAGAAATGTTTGGAAACTTGTTTCCTTGACCAAAACAATTTTAATCTCAAATATATTTCCTTGCATATCAAGCAGAAAACGCAGTTAGGAGCCTTGGTCTTCAAACAGCCTCTCCTGTAACCTCTTTTTTAAATTCTACTGAGTCAAATCACACGCAGGTATAAAAAACAATGAAGTCGCAGATAATATTGCGAAAGAAAGTATACAAATGGGAGAAGATATAAAGTGTAAATTATCAATAGAAGAATATATAAATTTATCAAAACAAACGATGTTAAAGAAGTGGGCATACTTATGGCAGGAGTACTTACTAGTTAACAAATCCAACTCGATATATAAAAATCAAATTAAGAAGAATTCCTTGGTACAGCAAGGTCTTGTCAACAAAAATGCCTACCCTTGGATGAATAGAGTGTAATCCCTGTTAAATTCTTTTATTAAAATAATATAATTAATGATATGGGAATCCACTCTCATCCTCCCTAATGGCAAGAAAAAACCTCTTTTTTAAAAGCTGGAATTCCGGGTGCCGGAAACTCCCATGTAATTGTTCTACGATGAATGATCATTAAGTCATATTTTGTGAATCAACACATCCAGAAATACATAACCAAGCTTCCTTTGCTTTGTTTAAAATCTCTCTCATTGTTTAGATCATTCAACACTTTTTACTCATCTTTGAACATCCCCTGGAAGAAACTTACGAAAAAGTGCATTTTGTATGCATGATAGAGTAGATCTTTGATTTGTTTTTACTATTTGCAGATCTTTGTACCTTACCACCTGTCCGAGGACCCTGCAATGGCGAGTATCCTCAATATTACTACGACCCGGCCACTGATTCATGTCAAATATTTATATATGGAGGCTGCACCGGCAACTACAATAGGTTCCAAGATCAGCGGCTATGCGAAGACCGGTGTAAAAGGGTTCGTGAACCAGAACCAACATATACTCAGGCTCCAACAGGTTTGTATTTTAAAAGATCTATATATAATTTTATGATTCGGATAGTGGGTCGTATTTGTCTACATTCATAGAAAACGAAAGATTACTTCAGGGCTGCAGAAGAAGGTAAAACGTAGATAAATGGTGAGATACAAATTAGCAAGCTAGGAAGAGAAAGTTTCATAAAATACTCTAAACATGTTTACAGTCCTTCTGGCTTTGAACTGAGTTTGTCATCTTGTTAAACCATCGAGTCGACAACTTTGTTCTTTTTATGTTCACTTAAGCTGTTGGTTTATGTAATTTATTTTTTCTTTTTCCTTCTTGTATAAAGGCTTTAAAGCCAGTTTCTTCTTCAATATTAGCCTCCTTTTTTTAAGCCCTTTTCTATTCGGATTGCCGAATATAGACCTCTCCTAATTCTCGCCATTCATTTCTGTTGTTTGTTAGATTAGCCTCCTAAATTGTTTAAATTATCGCACAATCTTTTTCTTGCTTTGCCAATACTTTTTCGTCTATTTGGTGACTTATCTCATGCTATTCGTACTGTCCTATCCTCTGTCATTCTACTAATATGATCGTTCCACGCCTGTTTCCGATTTGTCACCCATCCATTTATGTCTTCTATATTGCATGGTCTTTTTATGTTTTCGCTTTTCTCTCTATCCAACCGACTTTTCTCTGATATTCGTCGGAGTATTTTTATCTTAGTTGTTTCTAGTAGTCGTCTCGTTTTAGATGTATCAGATCTTGTCTCCACCGTGTACAAAAACGGCATCTACGCAGGATCATTCGGATCTGAATCCTTCTTGTTCATCTGATAAAATTGTTAGTTTATTGATTTTGTTGCTTAGGACCTTTGTGCTAAACTTAAGTGCGGTGTTGGGGTCTTCTTTATCTCCTTTCTTGAACATTGGTATCATTATGCTGTTTCTTCATGCGTCTGGTATCTTGCAGTGCAATATTAGTTTTTGTATAAGTTTTGTCATCTGAAAGGTACTTTCTCTTCCGTGTTTTAGAAGCTTGTTGGTTTTTCCGTCTGGTCCTGGTAATTTTCTATTTTTGAGTGAATTTATGGCTATATCTGCTTCCTGAAAACTGATTTCTATTTCGTGTCTTAATTCAGGTACATTATTGTGTTGATTATTATTTTCCTTTCCTTTAAACAGTTCCGTCAGGTAACTTTCCCATTTGTTTGCTGGTATGTTATTGTATTCCTTCAATACTACTATTTCTTACCGTTGGTTTCTTATGAATCTCCATATTTGTTTTTGTGTACTGTAGAAGTCGCTTTCCATCCTTTTTGTAACTGTTTCCAGTGTTCATTTTTTGTTCTTCTTATAGACTGCTTTGTTTCATTTCTTATTCTTCTATAGGTGTCTCGGGATTTTAGAGTATTTGATATTTTATATTTTGTACTTCGTATTAACCTCTCGTTTCTCTTTACATTTCTCTTTTGTTTCTTTTCTAAACTAAGGTGTATTGTTGTTGTTTCTTTTGTTCAGTATGACCTTGAGTTTTCCTAAAGCTGTATCTTCCGTGCTAGCTTCCTTTGGTACATTTCTCTTGTAGTCGTTCCACAGTGATTCTACATTGAATTTTTCCTCGGTGATTTCTTGTAGAAAATGTTTTGGTGTTATTTTTATTCTTATCTTTGTTAATACTAGTTTGTGTTCACTCTCTGCGTCTGATGAGTTTAAAGTTCGGATATCTAGAATCTGATTTGGATGGATTTTTCTCTTAGTGACTATAAAATCAATCATAGATTTGTGCCCCCTGGAGTTTTCAAACGTATATTTATACTGGAGCTTATGGTCGAAAAATGTATTATTGATTCTCAGTTCGTTCAAAGCATAGAGATTAGACATGAGTTCTCCATTTTCGTTGACATGGTTTTCATTAAATCTTTGTTTTACTCCTGGAACTATTTCATTTCCGATTCGTGTATTAAAGTCACCCATAAGAATTAAAGGTTCTTCATAAGGTTTTTCATTCAGGATGGTTTGCAATTTATTCCTCCTTAGGTTTGCAGTCCTCGGGGCTGTAGATATGACATTTAATTATTTTTGGTAGTCTTTGGTAGTCTTTCGGAGATATAGCGGCAGTTATTTATGTTGTCTTTAAATTTTTATGGACAAGTATACCTACGCCTGGTCGTGCTCGTTCTTCTTTCTTCACTCCACTGTATGCTAGAAGATATTGATTATAATCTCTTTAGCCTTTATCTTTCTTCTTGGTTTCTTGGATTGCACAAATCTCTATGTTTTTATTTATTAGTTCTTCTATTATCTCTTAGTCTTTGTTGTTGAATGAAGTAATGTTCCATGTTGCTAATCTGATTGTGACCTTCTCGTTTTCCTTTTCTTTGCGTGGTTCGTCAGCTTAGGTTTCGTTTGGTTCCGAGGCTTTATATCGGTTTTTTGAGCCTTGTTTGCTTTTACAATGGGTAGGATGCTAACCTGGCTCTTCAACCCACCTCTTTATACTTAAAATCCGTATTTTATTTTAAACTTTTTAATTATTTATTTAAGTTTAAACCAATTCCCACTTCTTCCAGCTGCCATTGATGTAGACGTATGCTCCTTACCTTATGATTCTGGTAACTGTACTGACAGATTTACTGCATTCTACTACAACAGAGAACGAAGAACGTGTCTTCCGTTTACCTACAATGGATGTGGAGGCAACAGCAACCGATTCAACAGTGAAGAACAGTGCCAACGACAATGTGGAGAATTTAGAGCTCAAGGTAGTACTTTCATTTTTAAATAACTATTGAATTATATAACTATTGAATTATATAAATATTTTATAACTATTAAATAGAAAATTGGACAAAGACTGTGTGACTTGTACACACTTTTAAAATATAGGTCAAAATGACAACAGGTGTATATTTCAAAAAACTTGATAGTGTGTAAATTTTTTTATTAAAGCAGAGTACCTACTTTAAGCATATAATATGCCATCTTCAGAGCTTCGTCTGATAGGTTATAAATACCTCATTGAAGAGTGATTGTCGACACAAAACACATTACAAAATATTAGAAGGCCAACGCCTCTGTTAAAAGAGTGAAAACCCCTTTAAAGTTGTAAAAATCACATTTAAAAGGCACTTGGTATACCAATGGCTAACTCTGAGTCTGATTTTTATATTTATCACTATTAAGTTTTTTGAGAACAAACACCTGTTGTCAGTTTGACCTCTATTAAATAATAATTTAAACTATTACTATTAACTGTTAAACTATTAAACTAAATTAAAGTATTTAGTCGTTTACGTAAGAAATATCAGTATCATTGCTGGACATTATTCTATAACTGATTGTGTCCTATCATAATTCCCCATGGCAATATTGTAATATAAGAACTGTATCTAAATACAAATTTGAACATCGATCCACACTGGACTTTTTCCAAAAATATTCTACATATATTATTGTGATATTCAAAGTCTTAGTGCGCCAAGCATTTAATTAGCTAATTAATTAATTGATTAATTAAAATTATTTAAATGATATGATTATGATTCTATCACACTTTTTAATTCTCTTATCTCAGGGTTACATTCGTGCTTCAATATCTATGCTTTACATGTGAAAGGTAAGGTCCAAAGAATACCGGAATAATAAAAAACACATATGATAAAACATTATATATTGAAATAAAAATAATGAAATAAAATTCACACTAAAATGTTTTCAATAAACAATATCTCATATAATGATTCTCAAAATTTTGTTCTACGTACGTGAACCTTCAAAATTATTGGTACAAACAATATTAGTTAAAATCTCAAAATCCCAATTATTATTCTAAATCTCCTAATCAAAATATTTATATCTTCTCCAAAGTAATTGTAAAAATTGTGTTATCAATAAAAGAAAAACTGCAGAAAAACAAAACTATCTCTCTATGATGATGAGTGGTCGAAATCCTTGTTCCTTGTAGCCTACACTATATATTCTTAGCAGCTCCCTAGCTAATCAGCAATCTTACAACAAATTTTTGCCAGTTTATCGTCCTTAATGATCTCCTTCAAATGCACGAATCGTTCAAATTATGCTAGCCTCTTCTCCTCTCGATAAACTGAATCTCTCGTTGGCCTGAGTGAAAAATGACTTTTGGAATATCTTCTCTTCACGATAAACTGAACCTCTTGTTGGCCTGAACAGTGACTCTTGGAATATAAGTAGAAAAATATGACTTACAATCTTTTACTGGATCAGCTTCTGTCAGATACACTAACTACACTAAAACTCACAAACTTTCACTGCTACTGCTTCCTACCTCTGGGAAACTACCCGAGAACAACGGCCGTTCGCCTTGCACCCTTGGAAACCAACTGACTATATTTTTTTTTTCTTCAAAACTAACTAAAGTCTCATTCTCAAACCAACCATCCCACCTTTTTCACTCTCTTCCAATCAAAACAGGTTATACATCTCCCATTTCTTCATTTCGATAACACAAACAAATTTTTACCTATAATTATAAAATTTCCTAAAATATATTTACAAAATAATCTTTTTCTACCAATTCTTATGAACTAACAAAACATATCTTTCTAAAATCTATTCTATTGTCCTAATTACTGCACAAATTTATTTGGAAAACCCGCTTCCATTGTCTAGGATTTCACTTAAGCTTATGCAGGTCACTCAAATATATTTTAACAAAGAAAATAATTTATGCATATCTTACGTTTTGTTCAATACAGGTAATCCAAAATTAAAAGACTTTCATTCTTCGAAATGTTTGTAGTTTATTGTTTGACTTATCTGAATTATTTTAATTTTTTTGAGTTTTGAAATATTTTAAGCAAACCAATATTTTTCTCGATTTTACATATCATAACATATGTATAATAAGCTTTAGGAAAAACACTATGTATATATGCAGCAAACTAAGTTTACATGAGGTTCTTCTTCTACGGAGACGACATTTACCTTAGATCTTTCCCATAATGATCAGATGCAAAAGTTCATATTTTTCAGGGAGTCTCACACACGTTTTATTTTATTTAAACTTAAAAATATGAATCGCTTAATTAAAGACTGGATATCTACTATCTCTATCTTCCACAATAATTTTGAATTTATTCTTTTGTAGATGTTTGTAATATGGAGAGAGATCCAGGACCATGCAGAGGCTACTTTATTAAATATTATTACGACAAGGAGACCAGGCGATGCGAGCAGTTCGCCTATGGAGGATGCCGGGGTAACGGAAATAGATTTAGCTCGGAAGACGAATGTGCTCAACTATGCATCACACATGAAGAGAAAAAACCAAATATTACAGCAGCTGGTGAGATATATTTACATGTCGTTTTTAGTTTGTGGTTGTTTAGACCTAGAGTTACTTAATATCCCAATTTTAATTGTTTTAATATGTAATTGCAGTCATATATCAGAGATTATATGAAATCTGCGAAGCACAAGTATGACCTGTAAAGATGTAGATTGTGCGTATATGTATTAGAATATTTAGAAGAGGATTATTTTAAATCGATAGTAGAAGAACAGTTTTTTAATATATAAAGAAGAATTTTAGTTCATTATGACTTTTATAAAGCTTTATTTAAAACCTCCAACTTGATAAACTGTCTTTCATGTATTAGGTCCTACCAAGAGGTATAAATCTTATTTTACTTATTCCTTTTATTGTTATTTAAAGGCAAATACGCCTAGTTATTTATTGATTCACCAAGTTTCCTCAATGTAAATGATTTTCTGACCATTGTCTACTTTGTCTTTCCATTAATCTTCTTTGAGTTGATGATTTATTTGTTGCTATTTTCACCAATTTCTTCTTATTTGTTTGAGTTATGTGCTGTTATGGCTAATTTCAACTCCAACTGGAAGAAAAACAATATTAGAAAAAGAGATCGAATTACAGTTAGTTCAGTATATTGTATCAATGGAAGCTGCATATTATTTTTAACACGAAAAGACATCTGCAGAAAAAATGGCAGTCACGTTAGCAACGAAAATGGATTAACTCATCAACTTATAAAAAATAACATTGCAGGACTAAGCTAACTGAACGCTTTCTTAAGTGGTCATAATATTTTACTCTACTCTATCACTTCAAAGACCAACTACATAATAAAGCTCTGGCCTTCAACAAAGAAAAAAGTACAGGAGCTTTTGATAACTCTGTAGTTGCAGCTACAGAATAGTAGCTGCTACAGTCACTTCTCACTTAAAATCGGTGAACACAAAGGTCAGACACAAAATAGAACTTTTCTGTGCGGTATATGTTTACTCCGAGATTATAACAAGTGGCCAACTGAGAGATTTATTCCTTTCATTACTGATTTCATTGTAGCGAAATGAAAAAAAAAAATGAAAATAACTTTAAAAATATTTATCGACGTCTGCAGAACTAACCAAGCGATTGATTTTTTTTACATTGTTACACACAGATTGTTAAACAAGTTAAATGTTGGGATAACTAAATGTCAGCAGGGGCAGAAATAATTTTAGAAAAATGATCAGCAGGATGAAAACTTTTCAGTCAATTTATCTGTTTGGGCTCAGATAGGCAAGATTTCCTCGTTATCAAAATTTTTTTCGTTTGAAGTAGTGATCTTGTTTACAGTCTCACAGCCATTAAGATTCTTATGTACTTCATCAAAATCTGAGGCAAAATCGTCACTAGGTACAACTAAACAGATTTAACTGCAACGGTGACGATTTGAGATTTGACACGACCACACACGACAGACGTTGGTTGATGCAGTGTTGCCTAATCGAATATTATTTTAAAGGTATTGAACTGTAATATTAATACTCCATAATTACTCTAATGAGTTTATAATTATTATATTTATTATCAGAGCACTAGTATCAAAGCTAAAATGTTTAAGGTAATTGATAAAATATGTTATTTGCTGAAGTTATTAGTCATAATCATTTAAATGAACTGAATGAGTCTATTAAATTCTAAATTTGTTTCATATTGAGAATTGCGATATTTAGTTAAAATAAATTGTTTCCAACGGTTGTGGAAATAAGCTTATAAAACTAAATTCTCTTAGAACTTCTTAGTTTTTAATATGATAATTCAATAATAACTATTTCACGAATAACGAAGTTATTTGACAACGTGGCAAACCCGCCAAAATTTATGTTTAACGTTAAGTATATGGATGTTACGGTTCGGACGCTTGCATATAACTGACTATTGGTTACTCCCCTTATCGATGAAGTGACCTTGAACGTTGCTGCTATATCTGTTGAGTTATAGATAACCAGATTCTGAGTTAGCACAAAGTTTTTCCTCGTCCTCATTTTCAGAAATATATGAGAGCTTGTAAATTTTTTCTTGAAGCTCTGTAATAGCTTGTAAGCAATTAATATGAATTAGATAAATGGATCCTAATGTAAAATACTACTGGGACAATTAAGTCTTACGGTTATTATAAATAAACTTTTCTTCTACTATCGTTTTATGCAAGCTGCTAGCATTAATAATAACAGTGATGCGCATGTTCTGTAAATCTAACCTTCTCTTTCTACAGCACTTTGCCGATTGCCAGTAGATAGAGGATCTTGCAATGAAGATTACCACAAACGTTGGTACTTCGACGATTATAAAGGAGATTGTATTGCTTTTATTTATTCTGGCTGTGGAGGCAATTTCAACAATTTTAAATCGTACCAAAATTGTATTGATTCTTGTAGAGAGCTATTACTGCTTCCCGAACCTCGTAAGTTTGAAATAATTTGCCTCTTCACTAGACTCATCGGTTTTCTTCCATTGTTTCTTTCATTGGTCTTATGCTGCTATATATTATGTAGTTTCTAATTAACGTTAACTAACTTCATACAGTTCGTCCATATATTCGAGTTTTAACATTTAACATTTAACTAATATCATTTTGTTTGTCATACGAGATTTTGTGATGCTTAAATTGCGATACTGACGCTGCCACAGAGCAAATACATGTACTAAACGCCAGACACTGAGAGCTGTTTATCTGGAAGCTTTCTTTTATAAATACAGTACCCCTTCCTCTGTAAATAAACATGCTTAAAGATAGTTCTTGCTGGCATTAGAGTAGTTTTTGAAATAGAGGAAGAAATGGCGCCAAATTTCACATGGAACTTTGTTGAAAAAGCAAATTGATCGAATAAACATTTATGGCATATTACTTGTCAAATATATGCAGAAGTAAAAGTAATATACCACCAAAGATTCCTGAAGTAGTTGTCGACAATTACTTGTTGACCTTGAAAAACCTAACAACTAAACACAATATCTATCAGTAATTTAATTATTATCATAACTTCCTAAAGTTACAAAAATTCTTCATGTCAATAACCGTTCATCGTTAATATAATATAGAAACATTAAAATATTGTATACCTCCAGAACCGACCACAAACTTGCCAACTCAACCTTGTCAAGAAACCTTTAACGAATGCACAACCCTTCGATGTGCCTATGGCGTCGAGCCTTATGTAGATGAGAACGAATGCAACAGATGTCGCTGTCGTGAACCTTGTGCAAATGTAGACTGTCAACCAGACGAACAATGTACCATCGATATCAACAGAAACAAAGTGTCCGCTCAAGATGCAGATTTCATAGCTATTTGTAGACAACGTAAGTATATATAATTTTTATATTAGAACAAATAATGGTCAGTTTCAAATAAATTGACTGTTAATTCATTAGTTCGAATTTAATTCCTTGAACATCAAAACAATAAAAGTTATAGAATGAAATAAATATGAATTTTAGTCAAACCATGTGAAAAGATTACAAAATTTCTGTAGAATGGGAAAATAATTTGTAAGGTAAAGTTAAACGTTTACTAGGAATACATCTGAGCAATTTATCTAACCAGGACAATTATGTGTTATGCAAAATTCTAACTGCTTCCCTATTATTTAGCTCTAGATGACCTGATATGCTCAAGTATCTCCCAACAATTTTCATACATATCTACATTGCAAAATTAGTACCGCTTTCTGCATAGTCTTCTAGAGACTAAGATTATTCTTATTCATTACGACCCACATGTTTCATATTCTTTAGATAGTTCTTTAGAATGTCGCCAGTAGGAGGGAGACAAATTGGTAACATCTGGGAACTCTCTATTCTTCATTATCTCCTTATTTTTATCTTAAGATAAAATTTTACTGGACGATCTTCTCGTTGTATTTAAAACACAGTTTATTGTTGTTAGGTAACACCACATCAGTGAATGTTGCTTGTCTAGTATAAGATCCGGTCTATTATATGGCACTGGTTGGTCTGTCTGCCTGCATTGGTTGTGGGATGAACTAAGTAGATCTATATCAAATGCGGATGGTCCCAAGCCTGAATAAAAGAGTAGAACTAAAGGAGTGACACCTTTATCAAATCCAGCGATCAGCTGGCCCGGCAATAAAATCAGATAAGAAAAATATTCAAAACGAAAAATTTGCTGGAAATGGCAGCCTGTCTTTTAGGCATAGTATAAAAAAGTGTAATATCACTCTTTTGTCCTTATTGAGAAATCATCTTCGAAGACAGAAGTATCAATATAAGGATCAAAGTTGTAAAAATATGAAAGACAAAGGAAAAGCACCTCATTACATACTTAGACAAGTATCTTCTAATTTGTGTGCCACTTTTGATTTCGAGCGTTAAAAGCTGTCGCTATTGTCATGTTGCTAAACTGCTGGCAGGTGGCCTACATGAAACAAATCCTCAATCCTTCGACCTGTTCATTGCCTAATGCCACACCGGACAGTTGTTTTCTTCTTGTTATCTTGGAATTTTCTTCTATTTTGTCCTGAATGATCAACTAGATAAAGCGATATTTAGGTCCTTCGAAGTATTTGAACTTTCTTATTTTGATGGTATTGATGAATTCTCGTTCTTTGTGCATGGTTTCTGTAACACTGGGATACACAACAAGCTGGATACGTGTACTAACCAAGGGATTTTTAGCGTGAGAAGCTAACACGACAACTCGAACGCTCCTAATCTATTTAGAATTTTGACTTTTATTGTTCAGATTTCACATCCATAAAGCAAAGAAAACTGGCCATAGAACTTTAGCACTCTTAGACGCGTGTTCACGAGAGACTTCTATTGCAAAATTCAGAACGAAAGTTAATGACAGTTTTGCGTGTCAGTTCTATTCTAGTCGAAATTGCATCGCTCTTAACCCTGCAGTCAATTCAGCTGCCCAGATATCTAAAGAGTTCTACGAAGGGGGAATAATACTTGATATATCTGGTATCCAATATGCCTAGTACAAATTATAATGGCTAGCGCTAGTTAATTACATTAGACAATTCGGCAGGGAAGGACAAACTATCAGAATGTAGGGCCTCCTCGGTCGTCAACATCCGAGACCCTTGCATACACAAACAAAAAAATACTTAACATAGATGAAAATAGCTGCCTGGAATGTAAGAAGTATATATCAATCCGAAAAACTGTAGAATTTTATTAAAGAGGAAGAGAGGCTAAATATGGCTATAGTTATTTCGTGTTAATGATGTACAATAGTAAGAAAAAGGAGTGATACCAATAAACAACTACAAGTGGTTATTAATATCAATAATAACAGATCTCGACATACCACTAGGCTTGCCATCATCAACCAAAATATATAAAGGTATTTTGGACATATAGCTAGCTGAGGGGAAGGTATGAAGAGGTTTTTGGTGGTTGAAGGAAAAGTAGATAATAAAAAAAACTCGAGAAAGATCGCCACTTCGATGGCCATACCAAGACAGCACGCCAGGCGTAAGAAAGAGACTAATGAATGGCAACCATATGTCGAATCCCACATCCAAATTTACTAAAAAACTTTAGATTAGTACGTGTTGCTGGTACTAAAGTATGAAACCGAAACATATGCTTTTGACAACAACATAGGTACTCCACAAACTCCAAGTGACTCAGAGAGCTATGGAACGAAGAATGATCAACATTACTCTCAGCGATCGCAAGTCCAATGAAGGCAACAGTTAAAGAAGCAATCTATTCAGATATCTATGTTAAAATGGAACTAGACAGGACACATAGGAAGAATGGAAGACAACCGTTGGACGAAGCGAATTATTGAATAGCGACAAAGAGCAAACCAGAATAGTAGAGGCAGTTCTCAAACCAAATGGACTGATGACATCAAGCGAATGACAGGTCATGAACGGATGAAAAAAAAACAAAAAGGAATGAATAGATACAGCTGAGGGAGGCTTACATCCTACGATGCGCGATGGATGAAATAAGGAGGGAGTTATTTATATGAGTAAAAAAAGTACACGAGACAAATAAAGGTTTTTAAAAAATACAAGGACAATAATTAGTACCCATATTTATTATATAGTACCCGTATTTACTGCTTTATTCTTATTTTTAGGCAACAAACCAGGTACTTGCCCGAGACTTGAGTTCACTAACAACTGTGAGCATGAATGCAATACGGATGCAGACTGTGCCCTCCAAATGAAGTGTTGCAATACAGGATGCGGTACTTCCTGTGTGGATCCTCCTGGACAGTTGGTTACCCAGAACCTGCCAGCATATACGGAAGAACCCACTGAAAGTCCATGTAAGTTCGTTATAAAATTTAGTGTTTGTTCCAATATTTATTTAACGTAGCTTGCTTGTTTATAGAGTTTATAGGTATTTTTCAACTATCATTTATTTAATCTGTAACAATTAGGTACCTGTATCAAGTATGATAAACGTATGTAAGTATGTATATTCTATAAAACGGTTTCGATGAAGTAGCATTTGAAATTAAAGTTTTCATGACACAAATTCTATTTAAATTATTTTTTTATGAATTTATTAATATCAATTACTTGTAGAAAACTTATTAATGAAAATTATTTATTCTAGTTATGCCACCACATGTGGATCCTCTAGAATACAAACCAGAAATAGCAGCTCCTATCGGTGACCAAGCAACGCTACGATGCGCTGTATCTGGAAATCCTAATCCAAAGATTCGCTGGAGTAAAGATAATATTGAGGTAGTTACCTTAAACATTTAGTATCTGCATTATTTTAATAAAATAATACTATATCCTTTTGGGTTGTAGCTTTCAGTCCAGAAGAGAGCCCTTTTATGAACGTATCTGGTGGATTCCTGATCGGTGTGTCCCTTCATTCCTTTTTGAATTTTTCTTTCCCTCATTATCGAATCTCAACCTGTTTTATCATATTCAAAACCCATTTTGTGTTTTGATTAAGGTTCCTTTTTTTACCATTTGAACATATTCTTGATCCCACTATGTTTCTCTATGGAAAATGGGAGTTATAAATTTTTTAACAGGCAGATGAAATTATTTTGAAAATTGTTACGATATTATTTGCATTGTTTCCAATAAGTAACTGAGTAATAATATCTACTTTCAAGAGTTTTTCAAATAATTCCCTATCTGCTCGTGTACAATTTCATTTAATAGAGAGATTTACCCAAAAAGGGGTTAATTAAGGTTTTCATCTTCTTCATGTGCCATCTCCTCTAAGAAGGTTGGTAGCATCATGGCAATTCGCACTTCTGATACCGCTGCTCTAAAGAGATCAGCAGAAGTGCAGTTAAACCAAGTTCTCAAATTGTTTAACCAGGAGATGCATCTTGTTCCGCGAGTCCTTCTACCCTGTATTCTTCCTTGCATTATTAATTGCTACAAGTTATATTGTTCGCTCCTCATAACATGTCCCAGATATTGCAGTTTTCCAACTTCAATTATATTTAAAACTTCTTTATCTTTTCCCATTCTTCTCAACACCTCGACATTCGTGACTCTCTCCACCTAACTTATTCTTAATATATTTCGGTAGGCCCATATCTCGAAGGCTTCTAATCTGTCCGAAACATCTTTCTTTAATGTCCAAGTCTCCAACCCATAAAATAAGGTATCCATAGCTAATGAATATTGCTCTGACCCGATTGTGTCATTTAAGACTTTTTTATTTTATTTTTTTCAAGGAAGTCATTTGTTGTAAAATTGTCTGTAAACAAATATATGTATTTTTTATTTATGTATTATATATCAAAAACTGTTTATCAATTTTTAGATCGACGGTACTCAACCAAGATACAGAATAAAACTTGACCAAACACTCCAAATCATCACTTTGCATAAGACTGATTCAGGAATTTACCTATGTACTGCCTCTAATGGCATCGGCGAAGCTATTACCAGCCAAGTAAAACTAGAGGTTTTGGGTAAGTATAATTGTAGCTGTGGAATTGTTTTAGTACATGGTGTATCTTACATAGTATTTGTTAACTAACATTATTAAAAATTAGTAGAATCAGTTATTTAAAAAAGAAAAACGGGATACTGTTTAGTCATAATCTGTGAGTAATAGAAGAGCAAAAAAATGGATCATAAAAATTCTAAAATAGAAAATATAAACACAAAATGAGCAAGTCATATACTTAATCGTTAAGATGTCAATAAACTAATTACTATTTAAATGGGAATAAGCCACAATAAACATACTTTAACCTTTAATTGTGGCTTATTCCCATTTAAATAGTAATTACTTTAAAATGCCACAAGAAAATACCTTCAGAACAATGTCAAGAAACGTGCTGCCTAATGAAAAATCTTTTGAGAAAAATTAAAAAAGGAAGTGTTTGATTGGATAAACACATTAAAAAGAAAACTAATGATGAAAATGCCATATGGGAGCTAGATAAGTTCACAAGATGGAAAATATAACATATAGAAAAATATTTGCATATAGTAAAAATGTATAAAAATTAAGAACCAGATCAACAACGATTCAGTATAAAGCAGCCAATGTGCGATGGCAATTCATTAGAAAAATAAAGAAACACATGTTTATAAGAAAATAATTATGTCACTACAAGAAAAAACATATAGATATTTGAATATTTAAATGTTACGGGTAGTGTTACTAACTTTATTTAATTTAAACTTATTTTGTATACTGTTTACTTACCTTAAAGACTTATTTTGTTTACTGTATGTACTTAATATTTGTGTCTAACTCTTGTTTGTGTTACTAACTCTTCTTTTACTTTAAACGTAGATTCTGAACCTAGACCAGTAACAATACTATCAGAACCAGGAGATGATCAACCCTTAGTAGTATCCCTTAATGCTCCCACAACCCTAAACTGTTTTGTCCTTGGACATCCATTCCCTGCTGTAACGTGGTGGAAAGATGAGTCGATGATACCATTCAAAAACTCAGAATTTGAAATTAGGAAAGACTATTCATTGCTTATCCACTCGGTTGATTTACACAACTTAGGTATATACACCTGCCAAGCCTACAACGGTTACGGCAAAGCAGCTAGTTGGTCAGTAACTGTAAAAACTAGAGGCCCTGTTAGGTTCCACAGGCCTGAAGATCAAATATACAGCAAATGGATCGTGAACGATGATGAACCTACTACAACAACTGCTGCTCCTGTAAATCCTATGACTCCTCCTCCTGATTGGGAGATACCTAATACGCCGTATAATCCCGATATACCCCCTTATACGGAACCTTCCAATGAAATTATACCGAATACCTTACCGGACGCTCAAGGTGGAAGACCTCCTCCAAGTGTTAGTGGTATGCATGAGTATTAACATTATTTCTTGCTTTGCATGTAATGGCTTTTGGTATTTATACTATTTTTTTCCGCTACTTTTTTATGGCTACTGCATGAGTGAAAAAATATATTTTCTGCGTATTTTGCATACAATATTTTTCTACGGTGCCATGCAAATAATAAAAATCAAAATACACACGAGCAAAATTTAAGGAATCGAGTACTTAGAATAAAAGGTATATCTTTTATTATATAATTGTGTCAGTAGATCATTGTAAATTACAAAATACATTATTAAGACTCTCCGTGGTGTATTTGTATAATGGACTGCCGGAGTGATGACGTAGATTTTATTGACATATGTCAGTTTTACTTTCCAAACAAACCTTGTTTAGTGTGGGTAATTTGTATTTTTCATTTTTTTTACAGAATCTTTCCGCTTTTTGCAATATCTAAGTATTCTTATAGATACTACAACAATTTTACAAGGTGGTGTAAATAATAAAGTATGTTGATTTATAAAAATAGCAATAAAATGCATGTATCAATAAAGTAAGGTTAGAATTTCTTTAATTTAAACTTTTAAACTATGTTTCATAGAAATAGAATACTGCATTATGATAGTATTATCGTAAAAAACACGATAGTTAAATGAAAAATTAGCAGAGGAGGCAAAATGTTAACGTTATAGAAATTAAAAAGTAGGCAAAAGAAATAATAAATAAGATTTACTCACAATTAATTTTATTTAACTATCCAGACGACCGGTTTCGCTTTCTACAATATGCAAAGCATCTTCAGGTCTCGATACAAAGTTAAATAAATGATGCCGGTACTCTATTAATTGATGGTTGGAAGAACATTGTTCAAACTATCCTGTATTGTTAAATGGAGAACTTAAGTATGCTATTGTAATTGTTTGACAATAAAAGGGAAGTTCTTGAGGAGATAGATTTTAGTAATGTAATTGTTTGTTATGAATTATTTAAAAGTTATTTATATTAATTCAAGAGATATATTTATGAAATGTGTGTTATTTATTGAGATTTTATTTTATGACGGTGACAGTTGTATGACAATGAATGAGATTAGATGTACAAATTGTGTGGGTGTGCAATTGTTTCAACTGGTAATTATCAAATTTCTTTGATAAAGTTCTATTGGCATATATAACAAATGATTGCAAAGTCAAGTATATAAAATTATTAAAGTTAAAACAATTAAGGACAATTTAAAACACACATAAAACCCTTAAGAGGGACGAAACCAACATTAAATTTAAAAAGGGGAATGACTTGAATGCACTACAATGCTGTAGTTCATTCAAGTCCAACAAATTTTGATCTCAACGCCAACAAAAATCAAAAACATCTGAGTATCCGGTTAATTTTGCACCCCGGCGTACCTATATGTAACGATTTCTGATATCCCTTCTTTTTCAAATTTGCTACAAGACAAAAAAAGATACAAAATATTCGTTCCTTTAAATTTATCGGTGTATTAAATACTATAAATATTTACAATATTGATTTTCGGGGCACCTGCAAATGAGTACTTAATATAATTTCATTTTTATTGTAAAATATCCAGATTTAATAAAGTTGACTTAATCTAATTGATTCAATTTATATTTTAAAGTACCAGTGAGGGCCATAATTACAAACAACGATCAGAGGTACCCAGTAGGTAGCGATATTGAATTACCATGTGAGTTTGCTGGGTACCCCACACCGCAAGTTCAATGGTTCAAAGATGGAGTTGAACTCTACCAAAGCGACAAAATACGTATAACAGGTAAGAAAAAATACTGTTACGCTCGAGTGAGTGCTGATAGAAGTAAAAACTTTTATAGATAGACATGGAAAATATTCGGAAAAATTATTAATTTTTAATTTTCAGAAATGTTTATAGAAATAATAATAATGAGAAATTGAAATTAAAGAATAGAAACGACTAATACATTACATTTATTTATTTCACTAAAAGGAAACTGTGTACCAATTATAAACATTCCAGGACTTTTACTTGAAGAAGACTATCTGTCAAGACTATCTGTAGAAGTTTTTACTTTAATTTTTTTAACTATTTCATTATAATTCATTTTGAAACTTATATTTTTCTTTGCTTTCCTGGACAGTACTTTAGTAAGTATGTTTATTTCTCCTCTTTTAAATATATGGGACGGTGAAAGGAAAAGTGGTGTGGTGTAAGTCATCTGAGCATCATTTTGAGATACAAAAGGTTTTATTAGAAATATTGTAATTAAATCTACGTAACATTTATAAAAATGCTTGTGGTATTTTTTTTTATTTATTAATAATATATGTAACTCTACTAACATTTTTGTACAAATAAAACTATGTAAAGGGTAGTTTTTAAGGGGTGAAATAACTGACACTACTTCTCCTTTAACAGTTTAGAGAGAATGTACAGAAAGCAAAACGTGCCTATTGTTTTTACATAAGAAAATCAAAACTAAATTCACTAGTTTATTAGTCATTATTTTCTTCTACACCAGGAAGTGCTCCAGCTTCGTCATTGACTTCATCAGATTTTTAAAATAAGAATGGTGGACTCGAGGAATGTATGGTAGTAAATCACACATACTCCGTTTTTTGGCTATCATGACTGGTCGAGGTGCTGTTTACAGGCAGTCCAGTTGAAGATTTTTCAACAATGTTGGTCTTTCCTTCTGCTTGCTTCGAAGGCTATTAATTTGTAAAAAGTAAAGAATCTTCAATCTTTATAGAACAGTGGAAATGGCTCATCTTTTTAGACTCTTATCCACTGCATGTTTAACCATGACACTAATTGGTTATCCGTATTTAGTCTTTTCTAAGCACTTTTGTGAAAATGAAAGCTTTCTTCTTTCTATACCAATCTATGACTTCAAGCACATAAATCGGTTTATCTTTAAAGTGAGTTTCAATTGAACCAAAGTCTGAGTCGTTTGGTAAGTAAGAGTGTCCGCTTACCAAGGGAAAAAATACGGTTAGTCGCCGTATTCACGACATGGCAGACGATATTAATGAGCAAATTGTGGGGAAACTTTCAGGTTTATTTGCCATTCAACTGGACGAGCCGACTGATAGCAATGATGATGCTCAATTAATATGTTATATACGGTACATACAAAAATCAAATATATGTGAGGATTTGTTATTTTGTAGAAAAATATGTGAAAGTTGTAAAGCTACTGATTTATTCGAGGTTTTAAACTCATATATGACTAAAAATAATATTAACTGGGATAACTGTGTAGGCGTGTGTACGGATGATGCTCGAGCGTTGTCTGAACAGTATGGAAGACTACAAGCTCTTATCAAAACCAAGGCTCCAAGTGTAAAATGTGTGTCATACATAGAGAGGTCTTAACAGCAAAGAACGTTACACCTGAATTAAGTATTGTGATGGATAGCATTTTTAAAGTGGTGAACTACATTAAAACACGACCCGTGAAATCAAGACTCTTCACACATCTCTTTAATTTATTACTGCAACTCTCGTTGGCTGTCCAAAGGCAACGTACTCGCACGTGTATACGAATTAAGAAATGAATTTTACACGTATCTAGCAGACCTCTGTGGCATATTTAACAAATTAAATGATCTTAATAAGTCTTTGCAGGGAACCAATACTCATATCCTGCAATTGGCAGATAAAATTACTGGGTTTCGAAAGAAGTTGCTCTTATAGAAGAGAAAATTAGAAGATTTTCCTTTACAAGACATTCTACAAGAAAAATCGATAGAAATTCTTGATCCCTCTTTACAAAATATGTTTACACAACACATTTTATCATTGAGCGAACACTTTGAGAAATATTTTTCCGAAGATATGGAGCTGAGAGCTGGGAGCTAAACTGGGTCACAAAACCTTTTCAGTCATCCACGCCACCGACACTTTAAACAGAGGAAGAAGAACAACTGAGAGAATCGTCCTGTGATTCCAGCCTAAAGCTTCAATACGACAAGGATAAACTGTTTGAATTTTGTTGCTCACTTTCTCATGACTATCATGCCATCAGCACTGCTGCACTAAAGGTTCTATTACCATTTGCGCCTTCATACTTGTTCCAAACGGGCTTTTCTGCAGTTGCAGTATTGAGAGTGGCAATTTCCAAACTAAAGCCCCGGTTTCATAAGTTGTGCTCAAAAAAGCAAGCACATTCCTCACATTAACCCTCACTTTTCATTTTTGTGCACTTTTCATTGTTGTGCCTACGTTTTGATTTCGTTCTTAATTTCTAATAAAAAATATAAATATTCAAATGGTGTTGTTGTTTTAACTATAACCTGTTTTTAGGCTAGTACTAAAATTGGTAAGTATTATTGGGGGTTGGGTTGAGGTGACGTCGCAAAAAAACGTTCCATGAGCGTCACGGTACTAATAAGTTTGGAAAGCCCTGGACTAATAAAATCAATGTTTATTTTAAAAAAAGATTAGTTTTAACAAGGTTAGTCATTGGAGTAACTCTCTATATGTCAGTATATTGAATAAAATAAATGATTATTGTTCATGTGAATCGATTGCTGTACTCAACGGAGTTAAATAAATACAACAAACTTGGATTTAGATGTAGATATATACTTAGACTTAAGAATTAAAAGGAAATAACATTTATACTATCATTAGAAGAGAAGAACTTAATTAAAAATTTCTCGCAGCAAGTAAGTATATTCTTGAAGTATGCAAGAGTGTCTTCAATTACATAAAAATACTCTTGAACGTTTTACCAAGCAAAAAATAGTTTATGTATGGAAGGTATATTGACCTTTGACAAAATTGATGGATTGTTTATACATGTTACTGTTTATCTCGGTATTGTTAACAAATATACAATGTTGTTAATTGTGTTAATATTTGTCATTTTCAGAAACGGAGAGGTTAAGTGTGCTGGCAATAGAACAAGCAACGAATGCTGACTCAGGAACTTATCAATGTGAAGCAACAAATGCATATTCCAAATCTTCCAGTTCTTTAGTGATTTCCATTGAAGGTAATATAAAAACTGCTTTTTGTTTTGTTTCGTGAATCGCTTTCTTGAAATTTATAAATTTAATTTATTGCTAAGTAAGCTATAAAGTAAGTAAGTTATAAACAATCGTATGACTTTGGTGGGTTTCTCGTGGTGATTCTTGTCGACGCGTAGTTGGGAGAAAATCGTCTCGCTGCGTCAGTATCTGGAGAATTCGAGATTATTCCGTAATTTTATAAAAGGAGAATTATTTGGGGCAGATAATTTATTAATTAATCGTTACCGCCAAATTTACTCGAAGCACACTCAGTATTTTAGGTCCGCTTTTGTAATAAAATTAGGAGAGGGAAAAGACGATAAGTTATACAACAAATTGAAGTACATACAAGAAACATAAAAATATTTTCGAGTAGTTTGTACTGTACTGTATCTATACAGACGGATGATGAGAATTCCATAGATATAAAAAGTTACTAATGGTGAGGTACTTCAGCGCATGAGTAAACAAAAAGAATTACTCAGCATAATCAAAGAGACAAAAACACAATACTTGGGTCATGTTTTGAGAGGTAAAAGATATGACTTACTCCAAATGATATTGGAAAGTAAAGTGCAGGGTAAAAGATCAGTTGGAAGACGCCAGAACTCGTGGACAAGATGGTTTGACCGCTCATCCACAGAAATATTTCGTGCAGCAGTTTCCAAAGCTAGAATTATCATTTGGATCGCCAACCTTCAAAAGGAGAAGGCGCATTAAGAAGAAGTTTGTACTGAGATAAAAAAACAAGCGACGGTAAGAAAATTAGAAATGGGAATAAGAGGAAAATCAAATCCTACCCGAAAGAAGCGATGTTAATAAAATCAGGTGAAAAACCTACTCCAAAGTCATTAAAGACATCAAAAATAAAGTAGATGTTGCACAACTGGGCTTTCAAATAAACAATATTGGAAAAACAGAGAAGGAAGACCTAATAGTAAACCTCAAAGGGAGAGGAAAAGTAGAAATCCTAAAAAATGAAGTTAGACATTGATTCCAGTAATGAGAAGAATAATGGCAAACTTTTAATATATAAGATCTAGATTCAGCAGGAATGAGGAAGACAACTTGCAAGGTTAGATAGATAGATAGATTTAGAGGGGTGGCCCTTTGGCCTATTCCACTGCGATCTTTTCAGATCTATCGTGGTCCTCTGATCCTAGATAATATTCTCTAGCCTGACCCTTTTTATGAAGTCTAGTAGCTTCGAGACTGTACCTTCGATGTAGCTATTTGCCGGTGGATTTTCTTCTCCTGATGCAAAAAACCGCACATTTGCCAGACTGTCACACTGACATAAAATGTGCCATCAGCTTCAAGTGCTTCTTCAGATTACAGTGCCCTGTTCGAAGACCTACTATGACTTTGACTGTTTTCCTGTCTTTGCTTATTAAGTCTGCCGTAAATTTTGGCAAATGCTCTGTAATGAACTGTTTTGCCTGTCTCTGTCCTGGTGAATTCCTCCACCATTCCAGAGATTTGTGAGCTATCCACTTTCTTGTAGCCGTTCTTGTTACTGACTTTGCAGTGCCGCGGAAGGGTTCCGGTCCAACGAGGACCGGAACCCTTCTATTGCCCTTTTATTGCCCTTATGACCCTCGTGCCTCGGTACCCAGGCTACCGTAATAATGCTACTGTCTCCTAGTTTATTTAGGACACACACACTATCCCATACTAGCTTAGAATTGACCTCTACAGAATTGAGTGCCTTAAGCGCTGCCTGCCTATTTGTGAAAATGGCAACTGAACAGAACGTTCTTTCCTGCCTTTATTATTTCCACCTGGAAAACTGTCACATCCTTAGATAGATTTACCGGGAAAAGAATCGTTTCATTTGTCCCTACTATGCCGGCTCCTACATCTTTCGATATTTTTTAGCCATCCCTGTACCAGGTAGCAGCAGCTTGTATGGGTACACCTTTATTCCAGTCTTCCCTGCCTGGTATCTTAATTGTGAACTTATTGTTAATGCTATATCTTGTAGCTGTTGCATCGATAGGTTTCCTCATCACAATATCGACTTTTAGCTCCCCGATCAGCTTTCTGTTGTCAGCACCATGCATCTGGCTCATATCTCGCTGACTATGGATTAATTTGTGCATCACTGATCTGGTGTCGGCCTGTATAAAGATATGAAATGGTGGTAGATTTAGCAGGACTTCCATATTGCAAAAATAAAGAAAGAATAAACTTAGTCCTATGTTATAAATATCTTCAATATGGGTATATGTTAAACGAGTGTAAAAGGGAAGAAAGCTAAACAATTGCACGAACTACGCAGATAATTCAAAACCATTAAAAAGAACTTGGAGATGTGTTTATTAGGTTGAGACTTAGGTACTTTAAGAACTAACAACATTATTTCTGATATAATTCAAGTATAATTAAATAATTTCTTGTCTTTTCGCAGGAATGCATATTCACCCCAGCTGCATTGACAACCAGTTCCTCGCCAACTGTGCTCTAATAGTCAAAGCGAAGTTCTGCACGCACAGATACTACGCAAAATTCTGCTGTAGATCGTGTACGGAAGCAGGATTGCTACCCGTAGACGGCCCACATATCCACAAATTCAAGAGGCACAACACTTTTGAAAACAATTTAGTATAATTACATTTCCAACCTAGTCCCTTTTAAATTTTAAAAGAAATCCGTGAAAATCCGAGAAAGAATAAAATTTTTCTGTGTAAAAAAGATCATGAACTTAAAGAATGTTTGTTTACTATTCAATCGTATTTTCTATTATTAGACACTAATGTTACAATGAATGCTGCATCATTAAGAAAGTATTGAAAATTTCATGAGTTTTATAATTATTAGTTCAGTCGTCAGAGGTTTGAACGAACAAGTTGAATTTTGTCGAGAATATTAATTTTAAATCCGAAAAAAAAGCAAAAAAGTTTTATTACTTTTACCACCGTGCTCCCCCCTAAAATCCCCCTCGTAGGAGCGTAAAAATGCAAAAAAATCGAGCAAGAATCTGTACGTCATAGAAAAAAAAAATTTTAAATAAAAAATGTAGCTGAGATAATTTTGAATAAAAATGTTAATTAGCACTTTTGCGTAGAATAAACCGTTCTCTCAGAAACAACCCTTAAAGCGACCCGCGATGTTGAATGTCAGTTGCGCGCGCAAAATCAATGTTAAATAAAATTTGTATCAACTCGACGGAAAAAATTCGATATCTTTAGATCAGAGTGTCCTATCGACAAAAATTAAAATGCGTTTTAGAGGTAAAGGGGGTAGCTTTCGTATGCAATTTTCGTAGTTTGTCGTAAATGAAGTAAAATTCTATAAATCTGTTCAATAAATAAACGTTGCGAGGTTTTGACATTAAATGTATTACTCTCATTGACCGGTCATAAAATATTTTTTATTTTTAGAGACAAATCTTCAAAACCTATAACATTAAATTTCAATTTGGAGTTGTGGCAACAGATATGAGGCCTTCGAAATAAGAATAAAAAACTCTTACATTATAAATAATCGCACGTCACATGAAATACCTGTAAGAAGACGGTTTTAGGTTAATTTGTAGCAGAAGTGTAGCGTACTTTTACTAGTGTAATTGTAATATGTAATATGAAATTTCACCGTTTTTAAAACATATTTCAAATGCTTCATTTTTGTTGCCAAAACAACTAAAATTGCATGCTATAAGTTTATCTGTAGATATAAAATTATTTCATGCTATAAGATTTGTCTGTAATTATCGAAACTCTATAATGACCAGCCAATTAAAAGGATAAATAGTATCGATCTCATGAAAATCATAAAAAATAGCAAAAATCGCGCCATATTTATTTGTTTAACAATTTTATAAACCCTGAGTTTATTTGCGGCAAAATACAAAAACTGCATACGAAAGCTGCATTCTTTACCTTTAAAACGTATCTTGATTTTTATCAATAGGACACTTGGATCAAAAGATAATTTTTACCGTCCAGCTGATACAAATTATATTGCACATTGATTTCGTCCGTGTAACTGATATTCAAAATCGCCGATCAATTTAAACGTTGTTTCTGAGAGAATGGTTCATTCTACATAAACAATGCTAATAAACACTTTTATTCAAAATTATCTTAACTACATTTTTTATTTGAAACATTTTTTTCTGTGACGCCCAGATTCTTGGTAAATCGATTTTTTTCCGTTTTTCCCACTCTAGGAGGGAGCTTTTAGGGGAAACCCTAGGGGTAAAAGTGGTAAACTTTTTTGCATCTTTTTGGGCGTCCTAATATTTACATTCACGACCAAATTCAGCTTGTTCGTATGATTTTTTGAGGTTCGGTCACATTTTCGTCTCTGGCAACTGGAGTATATATCAATTACTCTGTGGAAAAATCTAGAAAAATTGAATAGCACTACAATTTGTAGCCAAAATTGAACAGCTTAATAGGTACATAGAACTCCAAATATTAACATTTTATTAAAAACCAGATGTGAAACCATATCTCCTACCCGCCGATCCAAAATCCGGTACGGTACAGGGTTGGATAATTTACCTTTGCTAGTCGTAAGCATACTTTTCATTCCTCATCATCATCATCATTTGGCTCTACAACTCTGTGTGAGTCTTGGCCGCGTTTACTATTTCCCTCCATTGTTGTCCGTCCTGAGCAGCTATTTCACATTGCTGTATTCCCATTTTGCGTAGATCACTGTCTACTGCGTCCTTCCATCTCATTCTTGGGCAACCAACTGACCTGCCATCGGGCCTTTCCCAGAATGTGGCGTTCAGGAGTCTTTTGTCACTCGATCTTAGCACGTGGCCCGCTCATCTTATTCGGTTTGCTTTAATGTAGCGTACTATGTTTTCATCTCCATATACTGGAGTTCATCATTGTGTCTTCTTCTCCCTTCTCCTGTTGTCTCCTCACTGCAAGGCCCATAGATAGTCCGCAGTATCTTTCTTTACAGAACCAGCAATTTTGTCCCGCTGGTTCAGAGTCCATGTATAGCTTCCATACGTTATCGTGGGACGAATCATTGTATTATACACTCTTATTTTTGCTGATATTGAGAGTATTTTTGATTTAAGTACGGTCATTAATGAGTAATATGCTCTGTTTCCTGGCTGCCACGTCCTTTTCATATTTATTTTCAGATGTGATGATCGCTCCCAGGTACTTGAACTTTTTGACGACTTCAAAGTTGTATTTATTAATTATTACGTTTTGTCTAACCCTTGGCCTTGGGTTCTTCGTAACCACCATGTACTTGGTCTTGTCCTCGTTGACCTTCGGACCAAATTCCTTGTCTCCGTTTTCGAATAGGGTGAAAACTTCCTTTGGATCTCTGGTGGATTATACAATTGTGTCAACGTCATCCGCAAACGCCAATAGTATTTTTGATCCTTGGGCGGCAAATCCGTTTGTCAGTTGTGGTTGAGCTTTCCTTACCGCATGTTCCAGTGCAAAATTAAATAGCAAGGGGGCCAAAGGATCTCCTTGTCTAAGCCCGGTGTCAATGAGGAATTCCTCCGACGTGGTGCTGCCAATTCTGATATATTCAATTCAATACTTTCCATTGGCACATATATTTCTAAGCAGCCTCTTCTAATCCTTTTTCACCTTTATGCTTATCCATCTAATAATCTCGACACAATTTTTTCAGTCTATTTCTTAAAAAATATATAGGGTGTTTCATGGGAAAAGTAACATTGGTTAACTGTACAAAAGGGACTCTTGGGCCATCTCAAAAATCCCATACTTAATGCGTCTCACTTCAACAATAACAAAGATACTGAGTGTTTTACTATTTTGCCAAGTTTTTATTTGGTTCATACCTTTTTAACCACACTGTATATTTTCTTTATATTTGCCATACGAATATTCTTCATAGTCTAATCGATTAATTTATTTATAATACTATGAAATCCAGGTCCTGATTAAAAAATATTTTAAAAATATGCCGACCCAAAAACAACACTCTGCACATTAGGTTTTTAAAAAATCTATATTGTACAGTATGTTGTTTTTGAGTCTTAACATGTTAATATGTTTCCAATATTTTTTTAACTGAACCTTGATTTTTTAGACTTAATTATAAATAATTTAATCGATTGGACCTCTTATAGAATATTCGCGAAATATAAAGAAAATACACAGTGTGGCAAAAAGTTATAAACCAAATAAAAAGTTGATATAGTGTCCCCTTTTTTCAGTTAACGTATGTTATTTTCTCAAAGAAACATTCTGTATAAAAGTTTATTAAAAAGTTTTAAATCATTTCTCTTTTAACTTCATATGAAAGGACATTATATATTAGAAATATATTTGTTAGATACACTAGGTACTTTTCAAACTGCAAACTGAGTAGCTACTAGTCGACTGCCTAACTGAGACTTGATATCATGTAATTTCTTTCTTTCTGTCTTCTGAGACAGCTTCTTCTCAACTTCTCAGGTTCTGATACTTCTGAGGCTCATTAGTTTCTCCGTGTCTGCTACCATTTCACTCTCCCATCTTTTCCGTGGCTCTTTTGCCAATATATGTCTTCTCTTCATAACAATCTTTGACTTCTGATTCTTTCTATATTTAAAGAGATTCTGAGACTAAATAGCCTCGGCGTGATTCATTCTATCGTCGAATCCCATTGTGAAGCTATCGAGGACAGTAACATCCTTGATTAAAAAAGTTTTGTCTGTTTCTTATCATGTTTCTTCCAAACTTTTTCTCTTTGTGTACCTGAATTCCATATTTCTTTGTTTTTTACTTGCATGATGCATTTATATTGTCCAGTGTAGGTACCATTATGCTTTTCTCTTTTTCTTATTTTTTCTTATTGTCTTTGTTGCAGCGTTCAATATTTTTCTTTAATTTTGTCTCGATCATTCTCTAGGTTATCTGTATTTATCAGTGTTTGGAAATTGTGAACCAAATGAATATTTCTCGGATTAACAATGAGAATAAATCATCAATAATAATGACAACGACAAATCTTAAAGATGAGAAGAGAATTTTTGAAAATAACGTAAAAATATTTGTCTGATACAAATTTTCAAATTTCGTATAAAAGTCTTCCTCTTAAGAATGCTTGTTTAAAATATAACCACGTCATCGCTTTTCTGATCGTACAAAATTTTTTAATTGTAGACAGTTATTTTTACTTGTTTATCTAAGTTTAAATGCATAAAAATCTCTCGCCATTTTTGAGATACGAATAGACGTTTTTGCCATATTGGTGGACAAATTTTGAGCCATATTTACCGTATGTTAATGATTAAACCGAGTCCTCGAGATATTGTAGATATGTTCGTTTTGTTAGTTTACGTTATCAAACAACCTTGTGCAATCTACTTAGTTCTTTGTATATATATTTTTAACAATATTTATAAAATGTCTATGTAAAAATGTGTTTAATACATTACGAAATATAAAAGAAATGTTTGTTTTCTTGAACCTGCGTGAAAGTAATATTCTTGTAGATCCATCGTATCAAATAATGGTCAAACGAAAAAGAAATTCCAGTGGAATAGGTCATTTGCATTTACTGATAACTACATAAAGAATTGCCAAGACTTCATAGAAAGTGACTGTAATTCTTAATATAATCTTAATAATGCCATACATAAAATTTAAGAAATAAAAAGGGCGATGCTGCAT